CATCACGGGAACGTCCTCATTGACACCCCGAGCCGTGGCGAAATCGTTAACAACTCCCGTGAACCACGATCACAGGGACATCATCATCAACACTCACAGCCGCGGTGAAATCATGAACATCTGCCGCGGGCCGCAATCATGGGAACATCATCATCGACACTTGCGATCGCGGCAAAGTCGTGTTAAAAACATCTCCCGTGGACTGTGATCATGAGGACTTCATCATTCTCACCCACGGCCGTGCCGGTATTTTTTTGGGGAAAATTATGGGCTTCAATTTAATGTACCGGTAGCCTATACATAAAACATTACATTACAAAAAAATTTTCAAAAATTTTTGTGGGGTTAACATTTCTCAACAATTATAAAATCCATGGGGACATCCACATTGACACCCCCAGCCGCGGCGAAATCGTTAACATGGCGCCATTGTATTATTCTTAATGAAATTACAAAATAAAGAATGAAAAAAAACATCTCCCGTGGGCCGCAATCACGGGGATGCATCATCAACACTCACAGCCGCGGTGAAATCATGAACATCTGCCGCGGACCGCAATCACGCACGGGGACATTATCATCGACACTTGTGACCGCGGCGAAATCGTGAACATCTCCCGCACACGGGCCGCAATCACGGGGACATCATCATTGACAACTCGATACAGCATCTAATTCGTGAACGTCTCCCGCGGCCGCGGCTAAATCATGAACGTCTCCCGCGGGCCGCAATCACGGGACGTCATCACAGGCACCCGAGGCCGCGGCAAAATCGTGAACATCTCCCTCGGTCCGCGGAGACATCATTATGGTCAGCTGTGATCGCGGCAAACTGGTGGTTTAAAATAAATTATTTGTTATTAATTTTATCTAAAAAATGTTTTTCCCAATCCTCTGCGGCCCCCTTTTGCTTGCGGCCCTAGGCCGCGGCCTAATCGGCCTAGTGGTAAATCCGGCACTGAATGTTTTACTTAAATGAGTTATCATTTTCTTAGCATAAACTAACATTTTGGAATCCAAACAGAAAAAGCAAAACTTATACAGTTAAGACATCAATTAAATTGAATAAGGCTGTAATACCACTGTATAAATAAGGTGCAACACCAACGATAACTAATTTGTAAATTACAGTGATGTGTTGGTACGTAAAAATGATTCTTGCTGCTACCAACGGTTCTAAGAAAAAAACCAGTACCAAAAACCAACGTTTACAGTTAAGAATTACGTCCGACAAATTAAATGCGTTAATCAAGTCCCAAGGTTATTGATTTCTTGGTTTTGGATTTTCTCGTGAAAAGTTATCGGCAATCAAAATTATTTCCCATTAATTGCTTTATTCGTAAACAACTTTTAATGTAAACTTATTCAGTTTGAAAAAAAACAACCTTATAAAAACAACTGTTTGTTATTTAATAGATTACGCAGGCCTATTCTCTAAACAATGATTGGCATATCTTTTAAAATTAGAATGAAATGTGACAAAAATCACGCAATGCTGGGTTTTTGGACGTTTGTAATTTTATTTCTTAAGTAGGGAGGCCGTGTATTCTAGGGAAAAGTACCGGTAACAAGGATCGTCGTCGAAAAGGTTGTTATGAATAATTGGGTAGGCGTAAGTACCCTAGAGATGGGCTATGGGCCTATTGGCTGTATGGTCCAGCGATTGCATCATACGGTGAGTAGGAACAGAAAGTGACACATTGGAAAAGCGAGTTTAGCATCATCCATAAACCGTAAACCTCTGTTACAATCACCCACTGCAGTTGTGATTTTTTACTTTACACTTTACACTTTACACAACCACCATTGAAGCGCCGTCAATGAGTTAGTAAGGTATTGGCGACGATCATTAATAAATTCAAGTTTCCCAGACCTATACAACACTGATTCAAGGTTATCAAAACTCAAGAACAATTTGATACACAAAGAATCTCTGGTTCCTAACCTGGATGATGTTATTAAATTTCATTTACGGTTACACTATATTATTCCACTTGCGATTAATTAAATCCGTTATGTAAGACAACGATTTTAATCTCACTTGGATAAATGGGCTTTGCCTTCAAAACGTGATCGGAAATGGTTGTGGTATTTGTAAACATATCAGTGACAGCGAGAAAAAATAATCTTGATCCGAACAGCTGTTCGTTATTTCATAGATCATTATGTGATATAAATTGGACGAAAACTTGACAAAAATCGCACAAAACTGCATTTTTTAAAGTCCGTAATATTATTTACTAAGTAGTGAATATTTTTATGGCTAAAGACACTCTCGCCAATCCAGTGAATACATTAAAATGACTTGGATCTTGATAGGTACTCTCGTTTTCCTGGAGAAGATTGCGTAAAATGCCATCTTGAGTGTTACAGAAAGACAGAAAGACAGACAGACAGAAATTTAGATGAGACTTGTTTCGGCTCCTTAAAGGTCGATTCACACACATCAGTTACGGAGCGTCACAGTCCAGTCACTTCAGGCACGTCACAGTTAACAAAAATATTCTTTAATGGATTTTCTATAGCGTTATCTACACTCATCCGTTGCAGTTCCAACAGTCACTCTGCTGGCATCCGTCAGTCAATTTCAGATTTCTTTCCATCGATACTTTTTGATTGTTCGGACGCCTGACAGAACTGTTAGAGGTTAGAAAATAGTGTTATTGTTATTTAAATGGTTGTGTTTACATTTTGAATACTGTTTGTAACAATTAACAAGATGGACAATGATAATTTGATAGAATATAGGTTTATAACTTTAACATTTTCATTGTAAATTACTGTACATTTCAGAGACGGAAGACTGACTGAAACCAACAGACGGAAAATTGACTGAGAAATTTCGGATGCAACTGAGACTGGACTGTAACTGTACTGTAACGGAACTGTGACTGAACTGATATGTGTGAATCGACCTTTAATGTATAAAACGTAAAAGTAACCTAAAAATGAATGATCCTGAGCAATGTACAGACAAAACTCCAATTTTATTTATATAGATTCTCATTGGTTGCAATTTAATAAGTGGTGTAGCAAAACACAAACACAAAATTTATTGAAATGAAATTAAGTCAATGTTAAGTGAATACTATTAATAAACATATTTGCGACATAAAGACATTTAATTGAAGCCTAAAAAACAGTTCAAAAAAGGCATTCTATTCTTTATACTAGTAAAAATTAAAATGAGGGTATAAAAAATAGTTTTCAAAGATCATGTTGATCAATGTACATTCATCTAGTCTTGAAAAAATAAGTATTTAAAAGCTTACTCCAAACATAATGAAGTTGATCGGTTGTTAACAAAATGTCATCATTTTTCAAACCATGTAAACCTTATAGTTTTCCAACTGTTGCCTTGTTTATTTTTTCTTTTTATGTATTTTTTACTTTATGATGTTTCAATTAATGGTTCAAATATTCATAGTATATATATTTCTGAACAAGAACATATACCCATGTATATATAACTAATAAACGTTCCATAAGCATTTTACACGAGAGAACACTATTCGGCAAGTAGCCGGTCATCGTAACCGATCATCATGAAGGAGCTTGGACGTCGTGCAACAGCGCTGAGCTATATTGGACGTCGTGCAACAGTCAAATATTTATTGGACGTCGTGGCACTTGGACGTCGTGCAACTGGCAGCGACTTTGGACGTAGTGCAACACTCCCGCAAATGTAACTTTTTTACAATTCTATAGTGCGCTGTTTCACGACGTCCAAGTGTCACGACGTCCAAAGCTTGTAGAAAGACTATATTTTTGGCAGTTACTGTACTTTTGGACGTCGTGGCACTTGGACGTCGTGCAACAACTCAAAAATTATGTTTTGGACGTCGTGGCACTGAATAAATATTATTGGACGTCGTGGCACTTGGACGTCGTGCAATGCATCCGTTTGATGTTGCCGGAATTACCGGAATGAATTGTTCATTCTGGTTTCAGACAACCTGCCTGACGGACTGTAATTTTTGTTTACGTATTGATCGCTTAAGTGGTTTCCATTGTAAAATGCATAGTATTTATTTTTTAATTATAGCAGCATTGTACCATAAATTTATCTGCCGCTTTAGTTGAATGGAAAATTTTGGTCATATTGTCAAAAAAAAAGTCTAACTTACATAAATGTATTTATCTACCTCAAGGTTGGATGCTAACTCAAGGTTTTGTGATAACTTTCCCAGATTTTTGTGAGCTTGTGGTAGATTTTTAAGAGAATTAAATAAAAGGTGTACAAGCTCATCCTAAAGTATTAAAAAAAAAACCTGTTGTCGTCTACAAGAAGTTGCGGGAAAATATGTATACATCCCTCAAATAGGTCTTAACATAGACAGGTACAGGTTAAAACTGCTTGCATTATGGCCACCTCATCGGAGTCAGACATTCGGCGCCGAAAATCTGAATCTGACTTCCTGCTTATACCAGCGTGCATGGTGGGGCGTACCCCAAAACTGATGGCCATCTGCCCTCTCTCAAGCACATGTACATGTTCATCCTCAAACATTTGTTATCTGGCAATGCATTTCAAGTAGGTTTGATCCCTTTAACCGCAAAAATGTTATCACTTAAGCTATTCATCCTTGGCTCAAGTGTAAATTTTCCCTGCCATTGTTAAAAGCTTTTATGGCGCTTCTGAGTGTCATGTAGAGATGGGGACAGGCTAATTTGGAGGGGGAAGTAGAAACCAAGCGCTAGAGATTGAAACTAGCTTACCCTGGTCCTGGTGCAATAGGAGCTTGTTGAAGATCTTTAAGTTGCAAAACGGCCCTTGAAACATTTTAATAGATGTTTTGAGGTAACAAAAACAGGTTATGTAAATGTAATGTCATCAAAGTATTCAGTAAGGTATAAAAGATTCCATCGTATATTTATATTAGGCTATAGTTAAGTAATAATTATACATCCATACAAGCCATCAATCATAGTACTGGATGACATTGACAAATTTACTTTCTACCAAAAATTTTAAGACAAAAAAACTTAAGAATTTTTACCTTTTGTATAAACTTCTCCACACTTTGTACAACATGCTTGTAGAGTTTGATTGCTTTGATGGCTGTCCGAGTTATTGAAGTCATCTTGGCCTTCGATATCGGAGGCTTTGTCTCGTAAAGAGACGAAAGCTGAAAACACATAAATTGCATCAATGTTTATTGTTTGACTTATGATCTAACTTGCATATAGATGGATATACGTAGTCATGGATGGATAAGGACGTCAGTTTGGTACCGAGAACATTTACGTTATCTATTATGACACTAGCCCCCCACCCCTTGATTATTGAGTTTTTTACGGTCCTGGTTACGAAGTATTTCAGCCAGAAATAAAGCTACATAGCCAGATTGTTTCACTCCCTTATACTCATCTAGCATTCATATCCAGCTGAAATTATATCAAATTAAATTAGGCCTAAACCCTTTTTTTATAAAGAGGAAAGAACATTTCTTGTATGTCAAGGATTACATATTTAACATCACTTGATATGCTGAAGGCTAAACAGTAGTTGGGCTATTAATTGCTACCAACTAGCTAAAAAAAAGATAAAAGTGGGCCCAGGGCCAGATTTAAGACATAACACTACTACTATGGTCCAGGTTCCAGTAGATTTAGATGTAATGAGTCTGTAGGCTAATTGTTTTACTCTTCTTTGTTTCAAATGAATATACTCTTTTTACTTTGGTGATGACAATGTTATATTTCTATAGGTCAGATCGCTAACGTTTTTCTAACATCAGTAATATTACTAAAACAAGATAAGTTTGTTCTAAAAGTTGTATTGTCTAAAACATTATTTGAGTTTGCAGTAAATACGTCTTCTTTACTTCGCTGAGTGCCATAATTAAAGCCCAAAAAACATCTGTTTTGCTAGCGCTGCATCAGGTCACTAACGCCAAATCAGATCGCTATGAATTTGAAAAAAATATACACTGCTATATTTTTTATGGTTTGTTCTCCCTTTGGTCGAAGTAGATAAAAAATTAGTATAAACAATTTTTTTTACATTATACACATTTTTAATCAAAAACATGTACATTTCAGATTGTTCCCATTATTAATGTTTTATTTTTACATTTAATAAAAAATGGGTAGGTAGTCATTTTAATTATATGATAGGTGCATAATTCAGGGAAAAAGTTAGATGTTTATAAACAATGTTTTTAATATTCAATAGACTTTACTATTTTTTTTCAGACTTTTAAAAATGTTATTGACCTGATGTTGTCTTTGTAGTTGATAAGACAAATATTCGTAAAATAGAAACACTTACATTTAAGCTCTGCTATGGTTAGCAATGTATAATGTACCTAACACTTTGTTTATTATTGGGTCAATAAATATCTATGTATTTAAAAAAAATGATATTTTTTGTGTTTTCATTTTTTTCTTTCAATTTGAAATTCACCCATCTACGTCCATTGGTAATCAAAAATAACGATCACTCAAAAACCCAGTTTTGCACGGTATTAGACTCATTTTGTTTTAAGTTTTACGATACAAGTCTAGTGATCTATTTTGGGCTTAATTAAATAATATCAGCTGTTCCTGGAATATTTCACACCTAACACTAAACTGTGGAAAATATTGATCTGTGATAATATTTAACATGTTTTACGAAAATATATATAAGTGGATTGTAACATAAGCTCACAACAAATCATGTACAGTACAGAGGCAAATTACTAAATACAGTACTTATAAAAAGTATAAAAAGGACATTCCCATATATAGGCCTACTATTTAACTTAGCATTGGTTGTGGTATTTAATAAACCTGGGGTGTTTTATTAAGCAATTTTTTGGGATAGTTATGACTGTTCAAAAATCAAAATCGTAAAATATTTTACTGCAAACGATTATACACTAATGCTGAACTAAGAGTATTGAGAAACCCCCAATGATGTTCTGTAGTTTTTGACGATGCACCACCGGAATGGGCGCGTTGTTTGACGATCCCATGGATTATAAAAGCGACTAGTGCACCTGTTGCTCGAATTCAAGCAAAATTGCAAAGTATTACAGGCTTTATTTTAAAACGAATAACAGTTATAATTTACGATGACTTAAAAGAGTCGAATCAAAGATAATGAACTCAATCACTCCACTTCAGTTATTGAAACTGAAAACCAACGCTCTTGTGTTTATCGTGTGTATCATGTGTTTACAATGAATAGCTGTAGTTAATACAAATTATTCATCTGTTTTTAAAGTGAACAAAATCTTTTCTTCTTATGAAATACTTTGGGATTTTGATGGCCTTGGGACAGGCTTTTATTACAGGAATAGGTGAAAGGGGGAATCTTTACAAAAAATGCTTAATTTAGGCATATTGTTTGTAAAAATCCGTCCATTATTAGCCCTTTGGCCGCCAGGGTACGATATATTGGACGTCTGCTAAATATTTGTTTACTGGCCAGCTGATCGTCCAAATGGGGCATATAACCTATTTAGACGATTTGTCATGAGTCGGGCTACACATAGAAACAGCTTTTGCTTTAGGCGTACTTTGGGTTTCGCCATAGATAAAACATAGTCTCTTAGTAGATTTCCCATCCTTATGGAACAGATGAAGCCAATTTTATTGTTAGTTCTGTCCGGTTTTCTGTAGATGTCGTGTTTTATTTACAATTTGTTTCTATTATTTTAGGGTTAATTTATCATTATTTGTGTCTCACTGTTTGGTTATATAGCTAGTGGACGAGTTTTTTATTTGGTTAAACGAGGTTTTAAATTACGTTACTGAAATAACAAGAAATAAATTGTAAACAAAACACGACATCTACAGAAAACCGGAAAGAACTAACAATAAAATTGGCTTCAGCTGTTCCATAAGGATGGGAAATCTACTAAGTGACTATGTTTTATCTATGGTTTCGCGTTTTGAGCGACTTTGTTGGAAAAAAGGACATTGCATCATCTGTGTTTGTATCCATAAGAGTGCTGTTGGAGGTTAATTGTTGTGTGTTTCTACAATTTTAATTGTGTTTTACGAGTGATGTTGTTTATGAAAATGAGTTAGGCCTACTGTATGATAATTATTTCTAATTTTGTTTGGTAGGCTAACTATGGATTATAAAGTAAGTAGGCCTATGTATTTGAAAGTCAATAATTAGGACTAAGAGATAAAAGTAGGCCTATGTGCTTAGGCGTAGGCTTAAGACTTTTTTCAAAAAAGCACCGAGCAGAATTTTTGAGGTAAGACTTTCAAATTTTGTCAGTTTAGGCCTACTAACAAATATATGTAGAACACGTATATCTATCACTTACTTAATAAGAAATATTTTTTTCTGGTGTACCTAGTAGTTGCTGGCTTATGAATTTAATTTTTATGTATTTTTTTTGTTTTGCGAAACATGTTTTTAAAATGTACGGGAAATAAAAAACCAAATCGAACCCAATAAATTGTATAGGTATTAATTTAAAGACAAATTTATAACTAATCTAACAAAAAAAAAGAATTATTGTTCTATGGCTAAAGAAACAAGAGAGAGCTTCTTAATCAAAACATTGCGCTTTACAAAAAAAATGGCCTTGGCACTTTTGGCATGCAACTATCTAGCCTACTTAAAAATTGTGGCGGCGAAAGAGTAAACGGAGGAGTAGTGTTTTGTAAAAATTGCCTTCATATATAAGGATACTAGCCGTACCCGCGGGCTTTGCCCCGTTCAACCTCATAAGTATTCGCATGGCTCAATCACATCCTGGTAGAAGTTCGTTCACTACCTCACCTTTAAGTTGGAGCTCGTTCGCTGCGCTCACTTGCCTTCAGGTTTAGCTTGTTCGCTACGCTAACTCGCCTCCAGTTGAAGTTCGTTCGCTACGCTCACTCACCTTATGGTTGCAAATTAGCTGTTGTCATAAATAATAATAAAAAAAAATAGTGCTGCACCCTGTTGGTAAACCTTGTAACTTTATAATGCTGTTGAACATCATAGAACAGAACAAACTCATTTAGGGTGAAGTGGGGTAAGTGTAACCACGTTTTGGCATAGTTCAGCTTTGACCTCAAATTGCCATCTTGTTATACATGATATAGTTCTGAAATTTGTTATGCATAAACATTGACTAATGGGCTTTAAAACAATATGCATTGTTATTAAAAAATAAAATCTTTTTTGGGAATAAAAAATGACTAAAAATTTTGCGTTTTGTGGTTACACTTGCCCCAGGGTTCGGGGCAAGTGTAACCCCTGCCTGTTAAAAATATGTAAAGCATTGAAAAAGAGACATGGGGCAGGTGGCCAGATTCCAAATCTTTTGCTGATTCCAAGACTTTTTGACTTATTAAAATATCTTAATTTTCACTCAAGTTACGAACTTTTTCGTGAACCTCTTCTCGCGTTTTGTGAAAAACGCAAAACATGCAAAACGGAAAGATTACTGTTAAAAAAATAAAAAACACAACATTAATTGGTACTTACATGGTTTTTAATGTTGTTTAACATGTGTAGAATAAATCTCACAGTAATATTGTTTTTTTATTTACATTTGGGCAAGAAAATCCTAAATTATAAAACGGGGTAAGTTTAACGTAAAAGTTATATAATCACTTAAGCAGTTCACTCACAAACAATTATGTTTTTCTTCAAACCAACTTAACTCAGTAACAATATGTGTAAATTTTACCTTATCTTCTGAATTCCTAATTTTATATTTACAACAAAGTTTTTTTTTCTTTATACTGAATATTATATGAGTTACACCCTGGTTACACTTGCCCCGAATCCAAAAAGCCACTTGCCCCGACTGCAAAATTTCAGGGGTAAGTGTAACCACGCTTGTAAAATCTAAAAAATAGAAAATAGCACAGATCTGAAATTATATTCAGATTCTACATGCAAAAATTAGTTTGTAAACCAAAAACTGTCAAATTTACATTAAAAATGTGAGTATGAAAAATTTTCAAAGTTTGAGGTCGGCACTTGCCGATGGAGTGGAAATCCTTTTTTAAACATTCTAAAACTATTACTTGCACATATTTTATATGCATTCTTAAGGCTAAATATAACAAAGGAAGGTCCAAATAACAAGATATGATAGTATTTAGGTCATAAAATTATCTTATTAGTTGAGTGATAAGCCGTGGTTACACTAGCCCCCCGGTTACTCTTACCCCACTTCACCCTATTTGAATTTTTGTTGTTTTTGCCTCCTGATTACAATATATATATATTATTTAGTGTGATCAAAAAGTCACCGATAAAAGAAAAACCAAATTTGTTTAATATATAAGATTATTATATATTATAATTATAAGAATTATATTAATAATTCTGATTTTTCCGAGCACCTAATAACGAACAACCGTTCATTACATCAATAGAAAATAATTTAGAAATTTTACAAATTCACAGAATTAAAGGCAAACACTTAAACGTAATAGAAGAATTTGAGATCTACAAAGCTGGCAAGAAAAATCCCCAACACATTTTGAACGAAAAAGCATCTTTTGAAAGCAACTTATTATAAGTTATAAAATGAAACAGTAGTCGGCATTGAAAGAATGATAACAAAACAGAAAGGACCTGATAAGAGCTGGAAGAAGGGGAGGGGGATGACAGATGGACAAGACGGCAGTGACGACAGTCTGGACTTGTAACTCAATGTGCACATACCGTCCGCCGTGCAGTCAATATGTGGCCACACATATTTTTGTTAAAAAAATGTGTTTAAGTGTTTTAAACTGTTTTTCGTTTTGTATTTATTGACTTTATGACGACCTCTTCGGAGTAATTACGTGTCCATTCAATGCCTGACGATGACCCCTTTGATGGGTTGAAACCGGTCGCCTTTCATCGGTGACTTTTTGACCACACTGACGGATTATAAGGTATTTTAACCTCTAGTAACAACTTATTTAATTGAAACAGCTGTTAAGATTCATTAATTTCTTTTAAATATGAAAAATCATAAGGTTAACATTGGAAACTCCAGAGCCACTGGGGCAGAGCCCGAAAGTCCGATCAGAATAAAAACAACTTAAGTTAGTTTTCCTATTTAATGCCTAAAGAATCAAGTGTACTGAATTTCAGCCTCCTAGGTAAATGGGAAGTGGGAGAATTAGTGGTGAGTGAGTCAGTGAGGGCTTTGCCTTTTATATGTATAACTATAGATGGATCATAAACATCCAGTGATGTCATTCTTTTATGTTTTTGATCCATACAATTTCTCTTCTAATATCCATGGACGATCCCATTGTTCGGTTGCTACGTTCCGCGATCCAAGTGTCTCACAGTCGCAACCAGAGAGCGCATAATATTTGCAACTCGCAACAATCCCTATGTTTAGGCCTACTGTATTTTTGTAACATCTCCTACAAAACACCACAAGCAATGCTCGGTCCCCTGGTACTTATAACAAACCATAAGAAAAGAAGCCTGACTAATGTTATTAATAGGACATTAAGGTGAAACATTTTGTTGGTGTTGTAATTTCAATAGGCCCAACTTAATTATAAATTTATATTTTGATGCTAGTTTCTAGCTTAATGATAACTTATATAAATTAGGGCGCCTACTTACTATAGGTTCCTTTGGTCACCTTAATACGCATAATTACCGTACCCAATATTTATCTACGCACAGAAAAATTTTTCAAATTGTTTTCAGTAAACAATCTTAAAATAATTTCTGGTCACAAGTTAAAGGATTCCCAGTCACCTTTTTGTGCATTATAAGTTAAGGCTAGTCTACCCTACTGTACAAAACTGCTATTTGGCCATCGCCTTTCAGGCTCTTCCTCGCTCACGTCACAGAAAACATACTACCGGTACTATAATCCAGAATGCCAACCGCATGGTAAAAAGCATTAAGTGTATTTATAAAGAGCTTTGCCTGTCAATGCACTCAGCATAGCAACGCTGGTGGCGCTGCCTTCAAATTGACAGGCAAAGCTCTCTCAAAACACTTAATGCTGTTTACCATGCGGTTGGCATTCTGGGTTATAGTAGTATGTTTTCTGTGCTCACGTAGGCTAACAAGTATATATCCGCCACAAGATACTAGAGCTAAGAGCGCATGGTTGTGCCATAAGCTTCAATCCTCTGTATCTTACTTATCTGTGGTTGCAAACAGTGATAGGCTACACTTACTAACTTATGTTCAAGGCTATTTTGTATTGTTAACCCTATGGGGGCCAAACATCCCTAGTTGATAACAGGCAATCAGCTTTCAGCCAGTTTACCGGTATAGTTTTGAGAAAAATACATATCAGTCCAGTCCCAGATAAGTATGTTTTAGGACACAAGCTTGTAATTACTTAGCCTGAACTGTGGGGGAAAAGCTCAAACATCAAGTTACAAAGCTTTGCCTAGGCCTAATTGGACAGCCTACATTTTTAGGAAAAGCTCCAAGTATCAGGCCTAGGCCCTAGGTAGGCATAGACTAGGCCTATACAATTTTCAATTTCATTAATACTAATTGTAGAAAATATAGAGAAGATCAATAGACGTGAAGGGCATATAGTTTTATACAACTAAAACTAATGTTCGTAAGGCAGTGCCCCACTTTTGAATGAGTGTGTAAAACTACTCGATAATTAAGAGAAGAGTATGTTTAGGGTAAGATTGAAATTTAACTTACTTCCGAATTGAATTGTTTTACGACTTCCATCTTGGCTGCTTGAACAAACAAAGTAGAGATGATTATTCTTGGCTAAAAGTCAAATGCGATTAAAAACTAAAACTACTTTCCATATTACAGTTAAAAGCATAACAAACACTATTACATTCACTATTCACCCTTTCGCCCGTGTTAAAGTCGCCATTATTCTGTACGAGTACGACCCGAGCGAGACCCGATTGAGACAGTACCGCGCCGACTCGAACTGAACATCAATCTGGAAAATTGAAACCACTACTACTTCACTCGAGCTACGCGTTACTATAAAAAGACTTGATTATTCCTATGCGGGTCGGAAGATCCAAAATCAAAAGATCCAAAGAAAATATTGCCGATCGGAAGTTCCAAAATCGTAAGATCCAAAAGTACAGTCATAACTAGAAGTACAAATTTATTTCTTAAAGTAAACTTATGAAATAGGCTGTCCTTTTCACTTTGGATCTTGCGATCGTATGTCGGGTCGGAATTTCCAAAACGCTACTAGTCAGATCGGAAGATCCAAAATGCTAGAACTGTTGCGTCTCTCAGATTGAAGGCGATGAACGCCGTAACCAGCCGCGTTGCTAATGTCAGGGGAAAAGTTTAGACACTCGAGTTTAGATCTGTATAGAAAAGTAACCAAACTACTTATTTGGTGTGTGTATTTTTTGTCCAAAAACCATTTCAACATCATATTTAAGACGTTTATTCAGACAATGTTTAAAAACAACATTTTAATTCGCTCTATGTTAGATAAATATTGTCACATAAATTAGCCATTAAGTATAACGGAGTTTTTGATTAATTTTAGTTTTGTTCTAATTTATATCACGTAAAGGCAATTACTAAAATACTGTTTGTATTTTATCAATGGAGTATCAAAATGCCCTTTGAAGCACTCTTTGTATAGTTTTACAATTCTCTTAGCGTATGTATTGGCCTTAAATATATGCTATGATAATTTTTTTTACATCTCCTTTTTTAAATTTAACCATCATGACAACAATATTATCAAACATAGATGGAATGAAATACTCCTAATAGAAGAGTTAATCTTCTGAGAATACTCTCAGTAGGCTAACATTTTATTTTTTGCTATTAGAACATAGAATTAAGTATTATGGAACAAGTATGTAGTTTACTTTGTGGTTTATACTGTATTTATCTGAAGTAACTTATCTTTTTATAAAGTAAAATATGTATCTAGATAACAGCCCAATTTGTTTAGGAAATCTTAATTTTCCTCATACAGTTTCTAACTCCCGTATTTGTCAAATACTGCTTGCCTCACTGTGGTATATATAGATTGCCTTCTAACAAGGCACCATAATTGCAGACGGCGTATATCGGTTGATGCCACGTTGATGTATGTAACTAAATCATAATCCCTGAATTTAAAATCTTAGATCGAAAGACTTAATGCTAGACTTTAAAGACTTTATGATTGAAAGATACCAATTCAATAATACAAGTCTTGAATTAACTCAATAATTCACTAACTCTTGACTCTAACTCTTGTTTGTGTCTGATACTAAATACATTAAAAAGTAGTATGCAAATTATTTGATTTGCATTTTATATTTATATGAAATTTTTTATATACTCAACAAATTTTTACCCTTCGTTCATTTGGGGTCTGAGGCATATCCCTAATCATTTCATGGCTTTTGTTTCATCAATGTCAATGTAAGGGTTATTAATTACTTAGCAAGTACCTTCGGCTTCACCTGCGATGGTATAACCATAAATATCATATAGCATAAGAAATGCTTTATGATATATACTTTTTTTTTACGTAATTAAGTAAATTTGTTTGTGTAATCTTTTTGGATTTAGTTACTTCTTTAATTATGTTACGGTAATAATAATAATTATCCGTAATGGTTGTGCCAATGATGATGAGTAAGATATCATTATTGTGTACTGCCTCCCGTAAAATTAAAATACTCCCGCGTCAGTGAACCTGCAGAGAAACCAATTTTCCATTTACCTTGCTGTAATTCTACTAAATTCTTCCCTAGTAATTGTAAGAAATATTTCCTATATGAATATTATTAATTTCAATGAGTACCTAGGTTTGCTGTTACAGGGGGGAGATAATTTGGTGTGTATGTTATTGATAGCTTTGTATGAAGTAAACCAATTTGCCCAATCTGTTTCTCTAAGGTGTAGTTATTTCATAGGCTGTATCGTATATTTCAAATTAGTAAATCCTGTGTTGAATTATAATACAGATGTAGAAGAAACTTATGATATAAAGAAGAAGTGCTCAAATGTAATCATAGGTTGATATAGACCTTAATTGTCTTTGTTTGTAAAATACAATGTTGCAAATCCAAACTCTAACGGACAATCGAGTCGGGCGGAGCACGAAATGAGTTTTGAGATAAAAATATGCCTATATTTTAATCGGGAAAGTGAGCTATCAGCATGCCAAATTTCAACCTAATCCGACCAGTGAGTGATTGAACCCCAATAAGAAAAACAAACACACAAACTTTCACAATGTATTATGTTGTTATACTCTGTCTGAATTTAATGTGCGGTTGAAGGACAAATTTGTTTTTCCCTGCTTTCTCCCTGGCCCCTGCCACCACAACATATTAGCCTACAGCTGATTCATACTGTTTATAATTTTACAACAGTTGTCACTTTGTTTACATTTTAGTTGTAAACAACATTGTGATTATTCTGATAGTATTTTGTGCAGTTGAATATTATTCAGTCTGTGTAATATTATTACTTGATTAGTGTTAATAATTAGAAATGGCCAAAAGGTGCCAAGACATTACAATTCAAACTAAAAACACAATTTTTAGTGTGTACAATTATTTAAAACAGCTTGTAACCAGCAAACCAAATGCGACAGTGAGGGAAGTGTTCAATCAAACCCAAAAGGCTACAGCAGAAGCTTGTTCTGTTTCTCTTCGAACAGTTCAAAACATAACGGGAGAAGGAAACAAATCCATTGCAGCACATAATATGGTCTCCGAAGATTGTAATAAAGAAAATATATCAAAAGAAGCAACATTTTCTTCATCTCAAAGGAAAATATCCCACAAAAAGTGGATAACTGATCTAGACCAATTCGACAAGGACGTAGTCCGAAGAACTGTTTTTGATTTCTACGAAAGAGGAGAGTACCCGACCTGCAGGAAGTTGAAGATTGTGCTAAAAGAAAAAATTGGATTTAGTGGAAGTAAAGATTCTGTATGTAAGATACTTAGAGATGTGGGATTTAAGTTTAAAAAGACTAACAACGGCCGAAAATTCTTAATAGAACGGTCTGATATTGTCGCTTCCCGGGTAGTATTTCTAAGAAAGATGCACGATTTAAGGCGGCAGGAAACTCCTCTCCCAATTGTATACCTGGATGAGACGTGGGTAAACCAAAACCATGCAAGAAAGTGTATTTGGGAAAGCTTAGATGGCAAGGGAGGGTTTCGGGTTCCAGTAGGGAAGGGTTCTAGGCTTGTCGTGTGTCACGCTGGGTCAGCTAAATATGGTTTTATAAAAGACGCACAGCTCGTATTTCAATCAAAAAGTAATGTCGATTATCACCAAGAAATGAACCATATAGTTTTCCACGAATGGTTTCTCGATTTACTGAGAAGCCTAGAAGAGCCATGTATTATTGTAATGGATAATGCCAGCTACCATTCGAAACAACTTAACAAAATTCCAAGTTCAAAATCTAGAAAGGCAGACATTGTGAAGTGGCTATCAGATAACGGTATTGATCACAATCCAGTCCACACAGTAGCAGAACTCCTCACCACCGTGCGGCAGCATAGGCACAGCTTTCCTCCACGGTACGAACTGGACGAGCTTGCGTTGCAGATGGGTCATGAGGTTATTCGCCTACCACCCTACCATTGTCAATACAATCCCATAGAGCTAATTTGGGCTCAAGTGAAAGGGGAGGTGGCGCAAAAAAACACGTCTTTCAAAATAAAGGATGTCAGGAACCTTCTAGAAAATGCCATGAACCATGTAACAGTAGAAGACTGGAAGAAATGTGTAATTCATGCTGAAAATATCCAGGAAGAAGATTTTTTTAAAGAAGGACTTCGTGACGAAATCATGGAACCATTTATTATAAATCTGCATGATGACACTGACTCTGATGGCTTAAGCGAAGATGATGGTGAATATCTTTCCAGTTATGAGAGTGAATGATGTAATGGAACGTCTCTAGTACTTTGTTAACGTCCACATTACAGTTAACAGTTGTTAAATTTACATCATTAGGTTCATTTTGTGGTTGTATATATAAAATTATATTTATATATTTTTACGAGTTTTGTTTTCTATTTGGTGTGTACTAAGGCATATTTGCCTTTTATTATTAGGGATTTGAAATATTTATACAATTAGTAAACAATGGAAAAAGCAAAAAATGTAATATAGCTGCTACATACAAATGGTTTAATTTGTGTGCACCTCCAAACATAACTCGTTCATTCAAATATAGTATGATCAATTTGTTATGTTAGTTTATCCTCAGTAATAGAAAATTATAGCAAACAATATTCTGTATAACAAAGCAAGTCTAATGAAATGACTCCATTGATCATGACCTCAGACCTATAGATACATATTAAAGGCAAAGTACCAGCTCACTTACTCAACACAAATGCTCCTACTTGTCATTTACCCAGCGAGTTCAATGTTGTACACTGATTATTCAGGCATAAACAGGATAACCCAATGGGTTTCGTCCTGATCTGACCTTAGGGCTTTGCTAGAGACCTTGACAAAGTTCCCATTACCTACGGTATTAAAATAATAACCAAATAAGAAGTGAAGTATCGCTTTATAATTTTGAAATCAGTTCACCACGATATCAACTAATTTAATCATTTTACCAGAACTGAAATTGTACCAGGTGTCCGAAAAATAACTAAAATATTTTAAAAGCGAATACTGATACCAAATAAGAGACTATGTTTAATATTTTATATATGTATTTAAAGCTTAAATTTTCAAGTTTTATTAGAAACTTAGTATAACTCGATATGAGCACCATTAGTGACCCGGCATAAATCTAAGCGAAATTTGACCTTTTCCCAGGTATCGGTCAGTACTTCAGAGGATGTTCCACCAACACATGCGACTATTCTCTGTTGGAAGTGATTCAGATAACGAATCTGCAACGAGTAGACATCATTCTTTACTGACCCCAAAAGGAAAAAGTCCAGAGAAGTCATATCTGGACTCCTAGGAGGCCATTGGATGGACCCTTCCCTGCTAATCCACCAATCGTCGAACTAGTATCCAGCGCCTCTCGCACACTCAAACTGTAGTGTGGCGGCACTCCATCCTGTTGAAAATAGACAGGGACATTCCCCATCTCAATGCCACCCAGTTATGGGGAAAAATACTCATCTAACATGTCACATTAAATAGCAACGCTTGTATCCCCTGAAGTACTAACCAAAACCTGGGAAAAGTTCAAATTTCACTTAGATTTTTGCCGGGCCACTGATGGTGCTAATATCGAGTTATAGCCTACTAAGTTTCTAATAAAACTTAAGAATTTGAGCTTTAAATACAGGGCCTGATTACCCATTAGGCTAATTAGGCTGGAGCCTAGGGCGCCAGTCAGCCAAGTGTTTTAGGGGGGCGCCAGACAGCTAAGACTTAAAGTTGGGACCGGGGGCGTAAAAAATGTTTTATTCCAAAAAAGGATTCGCGCAAATAGGGAAGGAGGTGGGGAAAGGTGCGTTCGGCAGATTTTCATAATCATTATATCCATATATAAAACATTAAACATAGTCTCTTAATTGGTAACAGAATTTGCCTTTAAAATGTTTCAGTTTTTTTTCGGACACCCGGTATTTAAAACAATCCATCAAAAGCATAAAGCATAAATGCTAGTCCAGGATTAATATTACATTATAACAACACTTCTAGTGAAATTTAATTTGATACGTAGATTATTATTGTTAAAATAATTCTTCTAGTTTTATTATATGTGTAGTTCAATCATAATAAACAAATGCTTTCTAAAATACCTGTCTGCAATATAAAACAGATGATTGTCACGGGGGATTTTAGTGTAGAAAAGGGTAAATGAGTGGGAGATTTACCATGATAGGGAAATCATATGTTGAATTCCAACCGCACAATAATTTTAGACAGACTATAGTATGGTAACACTTTCTTAATGTATTTTTGTCTATGTTTTGATAACTAGCTGTTGTACCCGTGCTTTTTAACGGCAATAGCACGGGAAATAAATACCTTTTGATCTATAAATGCATTTTATTAAATGTTAACGAGTGAAAATTTAAAAACGTACGTTTTCAGGAAAAGCACTTTGCAAATTTTTTCCCCTTTTTTCAAATCTTTTATTATTTTTTTTATTTTATTGGCATTTGAAGTTTCATAAAATGTCCATGGTAACGCAATATCTTTGGTAGTTTTTTTTAAAAAGAGCATCTTTAGTGGAAAAACACAAAATCCTGTCACGACCATAACAGACGTTTAAATGAATATTAAAAATAGTTAATATTATTTTTATAACTATGTTTTGCTATAAACTAATTTACTTTTATGACCATTATACAATAAAAAGGTCACTGAACTTTTGGTATATTTGGTCTTTCTAGAAAAAAATGAAAAACTCAAAAATTGAAAAAAAGCTATTAAAATCTTTTTAAGTTTGTATAACTCCGAAAAAACTTACCTGAGACCCGAAAAATCGTTATGTTTGTATAGAGGTGTGCTTCTTTTGTGTATAAAACATTGAAATATGACGATATTTTTATTTTGGAAATTTTTATGATAGAAATCATAAACGTGATGGTCAGGGACAAGCGGTACGGTCGTGAATTTTCTGAAATAATCTAAATCTTTCTAAACAATCCTTCAATTATACTGTTAGTTATAGTAAAAATATGTGTTTCAATTGAACTAAACTGTTCAATTTACAATTATATTAAAGTTATTGTCACGACCAAACACACTATAATCCATAAGGCTGGATTGGTCGTGAAAAAAACCCGCGATGGTCGTGAAACTTTGGTCGTGAAATTACGTGTTATTTGGCTCTGTTCTGGCGGTAGCCCTGCACCTCATGTTCGAGGATACAAAGTGGACTTCTAGATTAATCTAGCAATTGAAATATCTTATAAACAAAAATTAACACCATGTCTACTTCATCGAATGACTACGTACGGTCATGGACACACCAAAATTACAAAAAACACAATCTTTCCTTTATTAATCTTGTAATTCCTCCTTTCAACTCGAAACGACCGGCACTACAATCCTGACGTACACCCCGAACTAGTCTCTAAAACCAACTGACTCCATCGACGCCAGGCTTGCCACTGTCGTGCTCCAAAGTAGAAAATTTTTCCCAAATGGTCGTGACGCCAAATCGAGGGACAGACTTATTTTGTCATGGTAGTCAGTTTGCAATGACAATAAAATTATAATGTGCTCCTTTTTTGTAAGTTTAATAACCATTGATGACATAAAAATATGGCTTTATATATTTCGGCATGAATATAGTCTAAAAACAGCGTGAAAGTTGGAAAATGTACCCTAGGGACACGTCATGGTCGTGAATTTTGAGACTTTAAAAATACGAAAAAAATACCTAGAACCTATTTAAAACCAAATAAATGTGTGTAACTTATTGCCCCCGTCCCAAAAAATATTAAAACACATAATAATAAACTACAAATCCAGTATCTACGAAGTAAAAGGCCAGGGACATGAAAACGTACGTGTTTAAATTTTCACTCTAACACATCAGCCAATGTTTTGGCCTATTGATTCGTCGGAAAAGAACATACCATATTGCTGATGGATGTCAGGTGCTCAATAATTACTCTTTGTTGAACAGACATTGGTCTTATAAATATCACCATTGACTATATATACCTACCTGTAGGTATATATAGTCAATGATATCACGCATTTTAAGTTTTTAGTACCGGGGGACTGAGCCTTGCTAGGTTGTGGTTTAAAGTACGTATAATCGTTAAAACCATTTGATAAAAAATATTTTAAATATGATTTTCGAGAAATGATTTCATTACAATCCAAGACATTTGATTGATAAAAAAATAACGACTCTGTAATACAAGCAATGTAGGCCTATAAGGTATGTAATAAGCAATCAGAATAATCATGTGTTGATGTGTTATTTTACTTAATTTTTACATTTATTTATTTATGACAAAAATACTGTTATTTATGTAGGTAGGTGCGTGATTAATTTCTTGGCACTCAACGAAATGTTTCTTTAAGTTCAAGTAAGGCCCCTATTAGCCTTGAGCAACATGTGGCGCAGCTAGTGGAGCCGCCGGTGTCGGACGTGTAGAGGGCATGGAGTCAAAGGGTGCCTATTAGCCGCGGGGAGACCGGTGGCGCCGCCGAAAAAGCTGCCCGAGGTGTTGCCGGGACGGGAGTGAAACTAAAACTTGAATACTATAAACAAAATTGAACAAAACACGACATCGACAGTGTACCGGACAGAACTAGACACGAAAACACAGCTTCAAATTTACAATGTGATGGGAAGTATACTTGGTGTTGGTTAGTCAATGCCACAACCGAGCAAGGCTCGGTCCCCCAGTACTATTGTATGAAGAGGCCTTCACACTGATTCTTGTTTTCGAGTCGAACAGATAGACAGGCAGACAGTGGTCGCCTTTGTTTTCAACTAGATATAGAAAATAGTGTGGCAGAGCACAGCAAGAGTGACGTGTCCGCCACCCATCCTCCAACACCCCCCCCACCAATCCACGACTCCGCAACCCTCATCACGTGGCCTTGATATGTTCGAGTGTTTAGTGTTGAGCGTCCGAGACTACGAGTGTGTTTGTTTTAATAAAACCGGGATGTTTTATTCACTCCACGGTCGTTCAGTCCACCAGCTAATTTTTACAAATTAACGCAAGTTGTATAATTTTTAGCTCATGGTAACAGCGCTATGATGTTTTATGTCTACGACTATTTCGTTTCGTTAAAAAAACCGGTTCACTGACTGCATTAACTTAACATGCTTGGATACGATAAATAGCCGAAAACGCACGATAATTTTTTGCCGGCATGGACTACGCCGGTTGTACAATGATGATACGAACAACAAAACGTTGACCTTGGCAACTTTCGTCCTATAGTCTGGCAGAAGCTCGAAGGACTCCAGCGGATTAGGCGACCCTTCGCCCACGCACGCGCACTCACCAGCGGCTGCTCAATACCTGGCCCATCCCTCGGCCGCCCGGCAGGTGACTCACCACTGGCTTGCGGCCATAACAAATATGAAAATGAAAATTTTTAAAATTTTTTGTTTTAATTGTAATTATTTGAATTGACAATAAAGTTGTGAGTTTAACAAGCTAAAATTCGACTTGATCCCACGACTTTAAGCTTTGAAAACACTATTTTGATTTCTTGGGTATAGGTTATTGCATAATATTTCATTAATGTGAGTTAGCTTTGATAAGTACTATCAAAGATTACATATGCTACGCAAAATATGCTTTTTGCGTAGCATATGTAATCTTTGGTACTATGTATAGCTATGTATAGTTAATGTTGTAGGTCTAATATTTCCTAATTGGCAACCAACTTACACTTTAAAAAACTTATAATAAAAAGATTCATTAAAATAAACGGTAGGTTTGTGTCCAAATTTACAAAGGGATTCTTTTACGTGAAAGGGTCTAAGGTAGCATTATAGACCAATTTTCCATGAATTAAAAGGTGGTCAATGATTGTTGTGTCTGTTTTTAAAGTACTATTACAGAATAAAAACCATATTAGACTGTGGTATTAAAACTTAAGATAGTTAAAACCTTTTTACTTGCGGCGCATTGGACCGCACGGGCTTACTACTTAATATATTTTTTTTAACGTAATGTTTAAATAGAGATTTGATTAAGTTATCCCTTTTTAGAGTTAGGGTTTGCTCTCTAACCCCTAACGGTGGAGGTTGTAGCTTTGCGTAGATTGTAGATTTGCGATTGATATTTTCTACCGTTTTATTTGTATGTCATATTTTGAGGCTAATAGTACGTTTTTATCATATCTTAAAGTTTTTAATTAAAACCAATTTTTTACATTTTTACCCGCTAAGCCAGAAGCCAGACTAAGAATTTAAGTATAGCCTTTAAAAATATCTATCAAACTGGTTCTTACGTTGTACTGAGTATTATAACTTATTACGTATGTATATATTGTACATTTGTATTTTTCTAAGTCCTCTACGTTATTGTGTATCATAGTATTAGAGATTAATAAAAGATTTTTTTAAAGGAACCTGGGTTTATTTTAAAGACCTTTGATTAGTGCGTATCAAAAGCTTACTCATCACAACTAAATATTATGCAACACACTTTTCATACAACCTAGAAATAAAAATAGTGTTTTTGAAAGCTTGAAGTCGTGGGATCAAGTCGAATTTTAGCTTGATAAACTCACAATTTTATTGCGAAAACAAATAATTGCAAATGAAACGAAAAATATTAAAAAATTACATTGTCATCTTATTTACTGGTGCAATCCAGTGGTGAGTCACCGGCCGCCGGGGGAAGGAGGGGCAGGTACTGGGCCGCCGCTGGTGAGATAACTTAATGTTAAAACAAACTTAATGTTATTTCAACAAAACATCTGTTGAAAGATATAAGATTTAAAATTCATTTCGTATATGCATATTAATCGGATGAAAAAATAGGTAGTCGTGTCGTGGTGTTACTGTTGGTTATTGAAGTTGGAACCAGTGAATTGAATTTTGTTGAAACAGGGTATTTTTTCCTTTTAATACACAACTATCTAAAAAACATAATAGGCCTAATGTAAAAAATCTAACAAATGTTGACATTCATTTCAGGGGGGATATACAAACCATTAAACAACTTCTATTGTACAAAAATATTATTGTAGTTGTTGACAGCAAAACACAAATTCTCTATGTGTTTTGCTGTCACCATCCACTACAAAACTGTTGTAATTTTTTTCCAACTGTAGTGGGATTTCATTACAATTTGATATACTCATGAATTCTACCATACGATTGCCAAAACAGATTATCAAATCTTTTGTTCAATTTTTTTATATTAACAAAAAAAAACCAACTGTCTCTTTTATTACATTCATCGTATATACGAGTAAAGTCTGCTTTTATGTGTGCTTGCTTGCTTGCCTGCTTGCTTGCACAACAATATCAAATAAGAGTTCAAAGATTATCCTTTAAAATATTCTAAATCATTTATTTCTAGCCTACAAACGTGTTTGAAGACTACCAATACCTCCGTGAAGTAATTATTTCACTACAGAACTAATTTGCACATTTAACAATTGATCATTGGCCGTATGGCTTAACAGTGACCATATTTGTTGAACGAAATGGGAGCACTGAACTTTGTATTTAGATCAGAAAATTGCAGTAGCAGAAATATATTTTATCATATCATTATAACAAAATGCCAAGAACATTAATTAAATCTGGGGGTTTTACTTTGCATTATTATAATACCGTATGCTACATCCCTAAGGAAAAAATCTCAATTCCTTTAGAAATAGTGGCGCAAAAATGAAAATCGTTTTCACAACCCATTTCGAAACTAATGTAATTACTTTGGTATCATAATTAATGCTGTCATTAGTGAGCTTATAACTCAACAACGGGTTTAAACAACAATGAGGGATAAAAATCCTGTGAGAGTATCACTTCTTGTAAGGTGATAAAAGTGTTACTAGTATCCTAGTACAGTAACCACAACCATCACAACAATAATCAATTACAATTGTTAACAGTTAGTTATAACTGGGTCAAAAATCTTACTAACATTATAAATGTGAAAGTTTGTGTGTTTGTTTGTTTGAAGTTCAATCACGCATAAACTACTGGACGGATCCGGCTGAAATTTGGCATGATGGTAGCTCACATTCCCAATTAACATATAGGCATATTCTTATCTCAAAAATCCTTTCGGGCTCCACCCCAGTGGCTCTGTAGTTTCCCATGTCAACTTTATGATGTGTATTCATATTTAAAGGGAATTAAAGAATTTAGTCAGCTGTTTCAACTAAAAAAGTTGGTTCTATGTAAAAGCATTAAAAAAAAGCATTAGTTTCCACGTCCCAGGAGGGGGTACCAGATCGAGGGAGCTGTTTGCTAGGTCCCACCATGCTACCCTCTACGAACAGCACAGTGCCATCGTTCGCATACAAGCCCTGGGAAACTCTCTGCCACCTGATATCGATTTCTTCAATAGTGGCACCACTGGTTTCAGAAGATTGATCAGCTCCCTCCCACTTGGTCAGTGAAGAAGATGACATATCTGCTTCAAGACTATAAGACAAGTCTAATTTCTTATTAAATTTGTTAAATCCTTGTTATGTTTTGTTGTCCTCGTTGCTCTTTATTGTTATCTTCGTCCTTATTGTTACTTCATTGTTATTCCTTTTGTTATTGTTATTATTTATTGTTATTGTTATTACTGTTTGCTCATCAACTCAATAGTTGTACCTATCACAAAATTTGTATTCTGTATGTAATGGTTTGTCCGTCAATAAATAAATAAAACAATGTTTACCCTCCCTGTTGCAGCAAACCTAAAGTACTTGTTAAACAATGCTATTTAAATAGGGAATACAAATGTGATATTTTTAAGGAGATATTTAAGAGTGAATCCAATCAGGCAAATTAAAATTCGCTTGGGCTGCAGGTTTGATGTGGCGGGGTATTATTTATATATATTCCAACATTTTAAAGAATCATTTTTATTAGTATTAAAAGTTATATATGTTTTAGTGGTGACGAGTTCATAACATTTTAAATGATTCATTGACGTTTCTACTGGATGATAAATAATTTGAGAAGACAAAACAATTAACAGCAGAAAAATTTATGCAAAGACGTTTTTGTTGGTTTGAGGTCCACTTTCAGAACAGTTATAACTATAATTAAGAAACCTTAAGATTTGTGTTGAATTGAAATTAAACTTTTAACTTTTAATATCTAAGGACAGAACAGGGCGCCCTAGTAATCAAATGGTCGCCGGTTCAATCTTGAGAAAAGTCAGGGGCTTTTTGATGGTTCGAAACTGGACCCAGCTGTTTCTGATCATTGGGCTTTAAATAAATAATGATCCTGACTAATGAAAACAAGCCACTAGGTTGCCAAATATTTTAAACATATAACCACTGATACTCTTCATATCTTCAATACTATTAGCAAAATCTGCATCGTAGTAGCATTCAATGAGTTTTTCTGTTTTGCTATTTTTTGGAATAGGTCAAAGTCAAATCCTTGGTTCCTTTACCTCACAATACTCTTTAAGTTCTAAGTTCTTCCAATGTCCTATCTCAACAGTTTTGAAAGGTGCTGAAGTATGTAACAGAGTAACTCAGATCCTGGTCTTGTATCTAACATAAGATATATTAAACTTCCTAGATATATCATAAGATATATTAAAGTTCTTATTGTAATCATGCGTGCTACCGGAGCGAATATTTCTTCACATGACATCTTCCCCTGAAGAAATCCGCGAGCAACAAGCCGTGCTTTCTTACCTAGGTTGCCATTAACAGATTTTCCCCGAAAAATCCACCGAGAATCAATTAGCGTCTTTAGGAGCTTTTACCTAATCCCAAGTTTAGTTTCTGTGTAGTGTGTAGACAGTTTAGTTCTTCATTCCCTGCACTACGCCATACGCCCACACCATCCTTCATCTTGAATTGCCTCCTCTTCTTTGGACTATTGTTCAAAAGTTCATCCACTCCACAGAATTAGCAGCTATAAACAGCTAACTTAATAATAATAATAATAATAAATGTAAATTTATTATACATAATTTACCTCATAGCCATCCAGTCAGTTTCTTTTGTCTTGTCGACTTTCTCGACTTTCTCAAATTGTCTTGTTGAAGCAATTTCAATAAGTCTGTGCATAATGTCATCATATTAATAAATTATGAAACATATGGCAATATTTACTATGGGTAATTGTCCACTGTCCGTTGTCCAGTATTTTCTTTTGTGTTCCAACTTATGTAGTAGCCCTGTCTAACTTCCAAGTTCTGTCGTTTAAGATATTAAAAGTTCAATTTCAATTCAACACAAATCTTAAGGTTTCTTAATTATTATAGTTATAACTGTTCTGAAAGTGGACCTCAAACCAACAGGTTATGGGCCCATGGTAGGCTATGGTAACTAACTATACTAAATTGAGATTAAGGTAGATCTGTGTTGGTAAGAAATGGGAACACCAGTAGTATTGTTTGTGCTGAAACCTTTTGATGGTAAGAACTTCTGTAATTGCTGGCTATTTAGGCTGGAGTTGATACTGGAACAGCATAAGGTTTTTATTTATTTATTTATTCATATCAGGATACACCATTTACAAAATGCTATGTAGATGTTTTGAATGCTGTAATATTCCATAGATGAAGAAAACTAGGCTGGCATTGCATGGAACAGGACGTACAAGCCAGAGGTCTAATTGTACAACACCTCACAGATGAAATCATGTCGACTGTGAAGAATCAAAGAACGGCAAAGAAAATGATAGAAGTTCTCAAAAAGACATATGGAATGACGGGGCTAGAGGAACTGGCGATACGAATCAAGCAGGAACTGAGTAGGCCTAACCTGAAGTATCGTGGTGAGGTGAGTTACCTCTTTTGTTATACCAGTCCATAAAAAAGGGCCTTAAAATGTTATTGGTAACTATAGGTATATATCTTTGCTGCCTATATATCTATTATCCCTGCAGTGTCGAAGGTCTTGGAACATCTCGTACATCGTAGATTTTCTCAGTATCTTGAGGATAGTAACCTTTTAGCAAGTAGTCAGTTTGGCTTTAGGCCGAAACACAGCACTGTCCAAGCAACCCTGGCACTGATATCACATTGCTTTCAAAGTTTAGAGGCCAAAAGTGGTATAGTGTTTAGATCGTAACTTACGACATGTCTAAGGCCTTTGACACAGTGGCTCATGATCTCTTTGTGAATAAGCTTTCTTGCTATAACCTTGATGCTGTTTTGGTTAGGTTTTTTCAATCTTATCTTAGTGACAGATGGCAAAAAGTCTATCTAAACGGCACTTATTCTAGCCCTGTTTGAGTGCCCCACGGAGTGCCCCAAGGCTCTATATTCGGCCCTACCCTGTTTATACTGTATATAAATGACTTACCTTGTAATATTAATGACTTATATGTAAAAAGCTTTCTTTTTGCTGATGACTTGGCCTTGTGTGTACAGGTGAATGTGTGAATTGGTGTGAAGGTGTGTGTACTCTTTGAATGACGTTACGGATACATTGGATACAAAATCTGCTGTTATTATAATGACTGGTGTAATGCAAACAAGTTATGTCTTAATGCTGCTCTGAAGTTTTTGGGTTTTCATTTGCAGTCAAACTTGAAGTCGTTTTCACAGGTAGATTTTGTAGCATCTAAAATTGTAAAAGGCATATATTAATTTCAAACTGTTTTTCTTTGTGACAGCTAATTTGAGAGAACGGCTGGGCGTAGAAACTCGGTAGAGGTGTCTAAAGAAAGGTCTTGGTCTGTAGATGAGCCATCAAAAGAGAAACGTGATAAATACCCTTGGGGCTCCGGCCCAGTGGCCTTTAAATTCCCATCCCATGTTATTCTTATGGAGGAAAAACGGGGTTTTTGTCACAGCTAATTTGAGAGAACGGCTGGGAGTAGAAACTTGGTAGGGTCTCTAAAGAAAGGTCTTTGTCTGTAGATGAGCCATCAAAAGAGAAACAATGTAAATTCCCTTGGGGCTCTGCCCCAGAGGCCTTTAAAGTTCCCTCAGCAGATGTGTTAACATTATGACCATGGTAATTTTACACTACTTTTAATGAACCAGCTATGTTAATATTAAAATTGTATTACAAAGGACTGTTATGAGCATTTACTGAATCTGTCAAAATGAAATGTTTACATTATTATTTATGATTTTAAAATAGATTTTCCAATGCATGGAAATTTTTTTATAGTTTGAATAAAATGATGAATTTAGGATAGGTAGGTCTACGTTTTAATTTTTTTGTAAAAAAATCTAAATGTTTTAATACACATATCAAATTTTTTATTATGAAATCACTGGGACATATCAATTTTAAATGAACAGATAATTATTCCTTATTGGGTTAGCTTATATTTATTGTAGGGGTTGGCGCTTGCCTTTTTTGGTCTACTTTCAATAATCATTTATCATTACATTCAAGAAAGAACGTCAGAGATTTGTGAGATTGTTAGCATAAAAGTTTTTGATAATCGGGTAGAAAATTGTGTCTTAGAATAAAAGCCATGCAAGTGTAGAAGAGTACGTCAAGGATGTGAGATGTGTTCAAGTTTTTACCACGGAGTATGTTTAATCAATGGTTTTGGTGAAATAGGTGAATTAAAGAATGATAATGAAGAAGATATGGAAATACAACAAAGAATAAATGCAGCACACAGAAGTTTATCAGCATCCCACAAACTATTAAGCTCTTGAATACTATCACACAAAACAAAACTCCGTATACATAAAACCATTCTAAGACCAGTTCTGTTATAAGGCTCAGAAAATTGGGTGTTAAGTAAAAAAACAGAAAAACGTTTGATAGTATTTGAGAACAAAATATTGAGAAAAATATATGGTCCACCCTTTGAAGATGGAGAGTGGAGGATAAAACACAATGCGGAGTTGAGGCAATTATATATGGACCGAGACATAGTGGCCGAGGTGAGATGTAGGAGAATGAGATGGGCTGGCCATTTACTAAGGAAAGAGGACGACTCCTTAGTCAAGAACGTCCTTTTGAACAATCCGGAGGGCAGAAGACCACCAGGAAGGCCCAAGTTGAGATGGCGAGACCAGGTTAGAAAAGACCTAAGAAGACTGGGAAGAAGGGAAGAGGAGGCAATGGATAGAAAAATCTGGAGGAAGTGTGTTGGCGAGGCAAAGTACCACCTTGGGTACCAAGAGCCACGGCAGTAAGTAAGTAAGTAAGGTGAATTAAAGGCAATTCAGATAAAACAGTGCCATCACATCTCATCTCATTTGCATAAATTGTTCCCAACAAAACGGGACTAGGTTATGGATGTGGTTCCGCAAATGTTCAAGATTTGTGGCCAAATTCACTACAATTATGGCCCATCTCATCCACAAAATACATGCTCAACTTTATGTGATCAATACGGCCAAGGTAATTGACCCTCGCATATCAATAAAGTTCAAGTTTGGCAGCAACCTCATGGAACGATATCATAAAACTATGCCAGAAGTTAATCCAATAGCAAATAAGTACATAGATTAAATACATTGGTCGAAGTGGCAAGAGAAGGAATCAAATGGCGAGGTTAATTTGTAGTGTGAATGGAAGAACACATTGTAAGCCCCTTTTTGTGGGTCTTAACATTAAACTCACATTTCCATCTCTGTATGTTTTGGCAAGTTTGTTGTATGTAAAAGAAAACATTTCTCACTTTGAAAAGATATCTGATGTACACAACTATTGTACTAGATCTAAAGATAATCTGTCTACACTAATTAAGGCATAAGTATACAGTCACTCAAAATAGTTTTGAGTACCAACGTGTTAAAATGTACAATTTCTTGCCTGCATCCATCAAAAACCTGTGTGTTTTAAAATTTAAACAAGTTTTAAAAACTACTCCAACCCAGGCTTGCCTGTATCAAACATGAAGAGTTTTGGTTTAGGGTTTCAGTTATTTTAGTTGCCAGAGTCATCTTGAATCTGGATTGTTTTCTTTTTCTTTTTCTTTTGACTGTTGTCATGAACTTTGTAGTTAGTTTTAACGACAATAAAGCATTTCATTTCATGTCATTCTTTACAAAATTTGAAATGTTGGTAAATGACCTGAAATCTGCACCCGCATGTACTATTCTTACTACCACCTGGTAGTATGAATAGCAAAGAGACCATTACCACTCTTTTGTTATCCATGCCTTCACAGTACCAATTGGTCGCTTGTACTGTTGATATTCTCTTTCATCAGAATCCTGAATCTATAACATTAGATTTTTTGAAAAATGAACTACTGTCTGAAGAAATTTGTATTATATGTGCAAGTGTAAAACTGAAATTCATGATTCTTCTGCCTTTGCTGGTCACAGAAAATCAAACTTCTTTGACACGAAGTCAAATTTCCGGAATAAAGACAGTAAAAGTAGGTACTTTAAAGATCAAAATCAAACATTTAAATTTTGTTGTTATGAAGGGCCATCGTAAAGGATACTGTCCTAAGCTGAAACATAAAGCAAAGTCTCATGTAGCAAACGATGACACTTGTTTTTTATCTGAAGGTAAGGAAGCTCTCATTGGCACTGAAAATATTGTAGATTTTGTTGTAGATTCTGGTTCTACACATCATCTGGTTGATTCTATTAGGCCTACTGGAGCATTTCTTGAAAATGTAATAGATGTCGATTTTAATATTCAAAGTGGCCAAGCATGGTCAACAACTAAAGGCTATTAGATGTGGTGATTTAAGCTTACTACTACCAAGCGGGAAAAGTGTCACAATTGAAAATGTCATTGAATGTCCGAACCTTAAAATAAATTTATTATCTGTGGGTAGAATTGAGCAATAAGGACATTCTGTAATATTTTCAGAAAATATGGTTTCCATTGAAAAACCTCTCGGGAATGTACTTCTGGAAGGTCAGATATATGGTAACTTATACATGGTTAAATTAGGTTTACCCTTCAACTCTGAAGCTTATGTTGTTAAAGGTATTGACAATCAACTTTTTTTACATAGAAGGATGGGGGCATTCATCAACAGTTTTTGTACAAAACTAGACCTGTTACAGATGACCCCGCTCAAAGAAAGCAAAACTTTAACCAGCCCACAATGGTGACAAGAAAGATGGGGACACGGGAACTTGGGGACAAATAGGGTTGTGAGCCGAGGGAGTTTAGGAACTGATGCGGAAAAGGAAAGTTAGGGACAAATAGGGGTGTGGCCCACAATTACCCGGTCTCCTAATCTATTTCCTGGAGAACGACTCCAAGTGAGAGATTATATAGTAATCCTAGTGGAGTTAATTCTACCAAATGGAATTACAACCGATAAAAAAAATATGATAAAAAATATTATGATAAACAAATTTTAATTTCCTCTTTTTAACAAAAGTGTAGGCCTAATACATTATGTGGTGAACTCTGGAGTAAATATTGCTTTAAGAATTAATGTGTACATCTTCTTGGAAAACAAAATTTTGCCTATGTAGCAAAAACAGAAAAATTGTTGAAAACACCAGGTATTTTTAACAAAATGCTGGATTCTTCGGTTTTTTAATACTTTTGTTTCATATTTTTAGCAGTTAAATAAAACCTTAAGCCATCTGAACCAAAAAATCATGAAACTCTAAAATTTACCATTAAGATAAGCAAGTATATACCGTACAGATAACATGTAATTGACTGAGTATTAATCATGTCCACATTATCTGAGTATGAAGACCAAACAACCAGCTCTAGTGATGAAAAAAGTGTGAAAGTTTACTACCCAGATGATTTTGGAAGTCTAGATATTCGTATTGGTAAGATACTTGATGTTCGGATCAATCCATACGCAAAGAAGAAAAAACCGTGTTATGTGGCGAATGTAGATGTCGGTGAAGATATTCCAAGATGTATTGTAAGTGTTTAGTTGATTAAACACAATGCAATTAAAGTGTGAATGAAACTGGTATTACTGTAGTTACGTTAAAGCTTTTTTCTCCATTTGAAAAACAAACGGTTTTTAAGGAATATCGAGAATATCGGGACCACTCACAGCAAAAGGCGTAGGCCTATAGAGAAAGATTGAAGGTTGGTTGTTTACACTCAAGAAAATTGTATTCAAAATTGTTAAAGCCTTATTTCTCAATTTTCAATACCGGTATCATACAAATCAGAAGTGGCTATTTCCCAAATTTCCAACTCACACATCCCAAAACAATTGTTTACAGTAACTCCAGGTTATTTAACCAGATCTCAAAACGTCATAAACAATTGGTTTTTTACTAATCATGTGGGAAAATGTCCACAACAATCTGTTAGGAAATATCAGTTTTTATTTTTTTTTATCAGAGTAGCTTAGTTCACATTTTTACATAATGACACAGGATGTAATACAAGCTGTGTAAGTTTTGATTTTTCTATTAAATCGAATTTAAATAATTAGAAATTTTAATGACTCATCTAAAACCCCAATTATCTGTAAGTGGTCCTAAAACCTGCAAAAGTGGTCCAAACTGTTTAGTCTTTTTGAAACACTTTTTAAAATAGTGGATCACTTTCAGGGAAGTGAGTTGAACCATTTTTACAAGGAAGAGGAGCTTATAAACCGACTGGTGGTTGTGCTGTGTAATGCCGTAACAAAGAAGAAATGCAATCTTCTGTCTGAGGCATGGATTATAACCGCTCACAGTGATGAGCACACTTTGGAACTACTTGACCCACCCCCAGGGTGTGAAGAGGGGGAACAAGTGAGTGCAACTATTAGGAGAGAGTTCTTCTTTGGAAAAAGTTCTTCTTGTCTGAGGGCTATCATTTTATTAGTAAATTGCTATACAGCTAAGGAAACTCAAGACTACTGGGATTATCATTTTCATAGCTAAATCTTGGACCCCTGGACTGAAGATCCACGCTCTCTGAAATTTATAAATTCAAATACTACAGTGTTAGCAAAACGGGAGTGCCGATGGATACTTGTGGGGGTGCGTGCGTTTGAAGGGACTTGACCTGGTCTCCATCGGCACTCCCGTTTTGCTAACACTAAAGGCTTAGTCAGGGGCCAAATCTTGAACTAGAAATATAAAATTATTTTAAGCCCAATAGAGCTTTAGTCTGAACATTTACTTTGATTACAATATTACATATGAATATTCTTCTGCATATTCAGAATTATATGAAATATTTAAGTTACACAGGGTATTTCACTATTTAAAGCCTGTTTTCATTTAATTTTAAAAGCCATATCATAATCGCTCTCATCTTTTAAGCTCAGTAGAACCTGAACACAAATTTAGGACACTCATCATCATCATTCAGTTTTGAATTGCAAGAAAGCATAAGATGCCTATCAATATATAGAATTCTTGATAAAAAACAGAACAGGAACACTGCTTCCACATACAGTATTCCCGCCCCAGTACAACTCTGCACATTTAATACTCATTGGCTTGGTGTCATCGTCATCTATACTATATCTTTGTCCGCAGGTAACTGTGAAGGGTTTCCCAACCATCCCTGACATCCGAGATGTTGCCTACCCTCGACTGTCCATGACCATGAGGATCATGCAGGAGGTGAGAGTCAGTGAGGCGAAGGTCGCAGAATACCGGAGAGTCCCTCTCAAGGTGGAGGGTCGTGACCTCATCACCACCCAGACATTGGCTGACTGTATGGTCACCGACTCCTTCATCAAGTTCAAGTTCAAGTACTGAATCACAACTAGCTTCTGTTTTCAATTTGTTAGTTGGTCAATAATTACTTTTTCAATGCTTTAAGTGCTGAGTGGAGTTTTCAGCAGGATTTCCTTTAGGTGTGAATGGGTGTTTGTAATTCAATTGTACAATCACTTTCCAAATCCTTCTTGCTGTGTAATACAAGTTTGAGCTGCTGGAGCCTTTTCATTGATTTATTTATATCTTTTTAAATCATGTTTTTTCTCCTAATCTTATGGGACTGGTTTTCAAAGTACTGTAGCATACATCAAACATACATCCTCCCGGCCCTGCCTGTTGGGTTGGACAAATGTATGTCACCACACATAACTTCAACACTTTTACCAATTCAACCAGTTTAAAATTAGTGTCTTTAATTGTTCAGTGTAAAAATCTAATAAACCTTTAAAAATCAAGTACTTTTTATGCGATTAAATCACAATCATTCCTGCCTATAGTTTGCTTTTAATATCCAAATATTGAGCCAAAAAATATTTGGTGACAATACACTGCTTCTAATATCAAAATAATTATATAATTACTAACTTTTGACAGGGTGGGGAAATTCACATTAAGCACTGTCAATATTACAAAAAAATTAAATCCGTTAGAAATTTACTGGAGAATGGAGTAACAAGAACACCTTTTATCAGTTGTACTGTAATCAAAATTAACAGTGTTGAAATCGTATCTGAAATCGGGACTTTAAGTTTTACCACATACTGTACAAATCAAATATTTTTGGTATTTAAAGGGTTGTTGATTCTCATGTGATCAACCAACATCTTCAAGATAACCCTTTGACACTTCCATAGATAAAGGCGCCTGACTTATCAAAGATCAACTAATTGTTTGTGGTAATTGTTTTTTGATAAAGGCTTGATCACTCTTTAAATATGTAATTCATACTGAGTAAAAACAAAAATTCAGTTTCAAAACAGATATGTGAATACTAACTGTTTTTACAATGAAAAAAGTTTATAATTTTTGATAACCAAATGTTTAGAAGTAACAAATAAATACAGTGTGCTTTTTTATCCTGTTTAGTTTCATAGAGAATGACTTAGTGGCTCTTTGAGTTTAAAAATACCCAAGTGCATATAAAATGGCTAGCGCATTACCACAAGGTAAGTTTACAGCTATAATACAATATTCCTTTATATTGTACATGCAATCATCTAGTGTATAAATTAAAATTAATGCCTTGAAGCCATAAAACATGTCAACTAGGACTGATTTTGATGTACATATCCAATTTGATCTGTTTATATTATTCTGTTGTCCAGTATTATAGTGAGAAATTTGAAACTATCGTTGATTTTGAATAATGGAGTAGACATATCATCTATATAGGTATAGAGTTATTACAAATGATGTTCCTGAGTGAAAATTTAAAAACGTACGTTTTCAGGAAAAGCACTTTTAAAATTTTTTGTTCCATTTTTTGAAACTTTTTTTATTTTTTATATTTCATTGACATTATTTGAAGTTTCATAAAATGTCCATGGTAACGCAATATCTTTGGTGATTTTTTATTAATAGAGCATCTTTGATGGAAAAACACGAAATTTTGTCACGACCATCACGGACGTAAAACTGAATAATAAAAATACTTAATATTATTTTTATAACTATGTTTTGCTATAAATTAATTTACTTGTATGGCCTTTATACAATAAACAGCTCACTAAGCTTTTGGTATATTTGGTCTTTCTAGAAAAAAAATTTAAAAAATGAAAAAATGAAAAAAGCCAATAAAATCTTTTAAGTTTGTATAAACCCGAAAAAACTTACCTGAGGCTCGAAAAATCATTATATTTTTATAGAGGTGTGCTTCTTTTGTGTATAAAACATTGAAATATGATGATATTTTAATTTTTGAAATTTTATGATAGAAATCATCAACGTGATGGTCAGGGACAAGCGGTACGGTCGTGAATTGTCTGAAATAATCTAAATCTTTCTAAACAATCCTTCAATTATACTGTTAGTTATAATAAAAATATGTGATTCAATTGAACTAAACTGTTAAATTTACAACGATATTTAAGTTATTGTCACGACCAAACACAGTATAATCCATAAGGCTGGATTGGTCGTGAAAAAACCTGCGATGGTCGTGAAACTTTGGTCGTGACATTACGTGTTATTTGGCTCTGTTCTGGCAGTAGCCCTGCACCTCATGTTCGAGGATACAAAGTGGACTTCTAGGTTAATGTAGCAATTGAAATATCATATCAACAAAAATTAACACCACGTCTACTTCATCAAATGACTACGTACGGTCATGGACACTCCAAAATTACAAAAAACACAAACTTACCTTAATTAATCATGTAACTACTTCTTTCAACACAAAACGACCGGCACAACAAACTTGACGTACACCCCGAACTAGTCTCTAAAACGAACTGACGCAATCGACGCCAGGCTTGTCACTGTCGTGCTCCAAAGTTGAAAATTTTTCCCAAATGGTCGTGACGCCAAATCGAGGGACAGACTTATTTTGTCTTGGTAGTCAGTTTGCAATGACATTAAAATTATAATATGCTCCTTTTTTGTAAGTTTAATAACTATTGATGACATAAAAATATGGCTTTATATATTTCGGCATGAATAATTAGTCTAAAAACAGCGTGAAAGTTGGGAAATGTACCCTAGGGACACGTCATGGTCGTGAATTTCGAGACTTTAAAAATACGTAAAAAATACCTAGAACCGATTTAAAACCAACTAAATGTGTGTAACATGTTGCCCCCGTCCCAAAAAATATTCAAACACATAATAATAAACTACAAATCCAGTATCTACGAAGTAAAAGACCAGGGCCATGAAAACGTACGTTTTTAAATTTTTAGTCTCCTGATTTTTATTGTAAGTAGCCTATTACTGGGTTAATATGTTTTAAGACTATTATACAGACTGTCCCAAAAGTCCCGGACCGGTTTAATATTTTCTAAACGACAACAGATAAATCAATAAGATTTGGTACATCAACACCACACCTAAAAATTTACTTTTTTAATGAAATATCAATTTTCTGTCACGTCATGGAGACGTCCCACAAGGAGTCAGAAGGAAATCTTAAATAGAAGCATAGGTTGAAATGTACATCAAATTAAAGGTCTTTACTAGCATAATATAATGCCGCAAATTTGAACTCAAACGGACAATTGAGTCAAGAATGACAGTGGTTCAAAGATTCATTTAATTTGCATTGCTATTATACGCTTACTCCTCGGGGGGCACAGCCCTAGGAATCGGAAGAAAATTGTTAACGTAAGCATAGGTCGATATGCACATCAAATTAAAGGTCTTCACTAGTAGATTACAATGCCGTAAATTCAAGCTCAAAAGAAGGCCTGGCCTGAGTAAAAAGTGGCAGTCGTTTAAAGATTCAAAATGGCAGATTCAAGATATCTTTGAACGGCTGCCATTTTTTACTCAAATATCCGTTTGAGTTCAAATTTGTGGCATTATATTCTGCTAGTAAAGACCTTTAAATTGATGTACATGTCAACCTATGCTTCTATTTAAGATTTCCTTCTGACTCCTTGCGGGACGTCCCCATGATATGACAGAAAATTAATAGTTCCTTAAAAAAGTAGATTTTTAGGTGTGGTGTTGATGTGCAAAATCTTTTTGATTTATCTGTTGTCGTTTAGAAAATATCAAAACGGTCCGGGACTTTTGGGACAGTCTGTATATTAATATGTTGGTACGATGAGGTAGGAAAACTCATCAAGTTTCATTTACATTGATTTGGGTGCATATCAGCTGTTGTCAACTGCCAAGTGAATTGTTGTGAGTGTTGTGTAATGGCTGAGTTCTAAGACAGGAAAGCTTTTTTTGTGTTGATCACGTCAGCCAATCTGTTATTAGTGCACAACGACACTTTAGAAGATATAACCACTCTAACCAAGTGTAAGAGTAACCACTCTACTCGCAATTGGTACTTGAATTTTAAGAGAAATGGCTGCATTTGGATGCTAGAGGGCTGAACTTAAAATGTGCTGTCTCAGATATGGATCGGGCATAGTAAACTGAATAATGACACACTCCTGAACTAACCTCCAAAATCTCCGGGCATCACCCCCTGTGAGTTTTCTTGTGGGGATAGATCAAAGATAAGGTGTAACAACAACATTACCAATATAAGGTACCAACATTAACAGAGCATACCTGAGGTTCAGAAACAGAGATTACCAAAGCTATTGAAACAATTGATCAAGACACTCTCATCAAAGTATGGCAAGATCTTGACTACAGGATTAACAAGTAAAAAATTAAAAACTTAAGTTTTTAAGAAAAGCACTTTATAAATTTTTTCCCCTTTTTTTCAAAACTTTTATTTTATTTATTTCATTGACATTTGAAGATTTTCCCTTTTAGGGAGTGGTTAACTGCTATGAAATGTCCATGGTAACACAATATCATTGGTGGTTTTTATTAATAGAGCATCTTTAATGAAAAAAACAAATTTCTGTCATGACCATTATTTTTATAAATATGTTTTGCTGTAAATACATTTAGTTTTAGTGCCATTTTGCAATAAACAGCTCACTAAGCTTTTTGTATATTTGGCCTTTCTATAAAAATCAAAAAACAAAAAATATTGAAAAAAAACAAAAAAAATCTCTTTAAGTGTTAAAGAGAACACAGAGTCTTTAAGTGTGTAATTCTGAACAAACGTTCTCGATATATGAAAAACCTTTATGATTTTAAAGAGGCGTCCTTCTTGTGTGTATAAAACATTGGAATTTGATGATAAATCAATTTTTGAAATTGTTATGAACCAAATCATGAACGTTATGGTCAGGAATAAGTGTAAAGTCTGGAATTGGTGATTAACGAGAATCCCTATTTTGTCTATTTAGTTTTTTGCTCCACAACTATTATTCTTATAATTTTCCACAAGACTTGATAAAATATAATTTAATTTTAAAACGTAACAGTTTTATATATAACTCTATACAATATAAGCATTACCTTATATAAGGCAATAAAAATACATGTCAATGTAAACATAGTTCTAAATATAAATGTTGTTTACATGATTCAATTAATTGTACTGTTATAAGAAAAATTTGTGTTGAAATTAAACAAAACTGTGCAATTTACAATGATATTAACATTTTTTTAAAGACCATAACACAGTACATTCGATAAGGCTATTTTGGTTGTGAAAAACCCCGTGATGGTCGTGATACCACGGTCGTGAAATCACATACTATTTGGCTCTTTCCTGGTGGCAGCCCTACATCTCATATTTGAGGAGGCAAAGTGGATTTCTCTAACATCTGTCGTATCACAAGGGGCTTCCATATAAAATATTTATAGTTCTATGTATCTGTGACGAAACTTTTTTGTAAGTTTTAACCATTTCATTTTTTATAGCAAATAAAACTATTTTATGTACGGTACACTTGAAATCATGAACATCATTTGTAATAACCCTGTATATTATTGATATACAGATAAAGCTGGTCCACATTATTATGTTGGTGAGGCCCTCACCAGTTTTTAACTAAAAATAAACACCATCAGCAATCTGTTTATTTACTTTCTCCCATAAGCTTGTCAACAACCTTTATGGGTAAGCGTTCCGAGTAAAGAGATAAATTAATTAGTTTTCTATGCTTATTGCTGGGGGCCCTTGACCATTGGCCCTCTAATGGTTTGTGTTAAATTAATTCCCTAATGTATGTACATGATTAAGAGTTTCTGGTTTAAGTGGTTGTCTATTGTATTGCCAATTCCAAGAAATGTTTTTCTTCAATTTCTTGAATTTTAACATTACATCTCAAATGGTATTAGAAGAAACAAACAAAACATTATTATAAAATTAAATAATACAATTTTTTCAGTCGGGGGTGAAATTTATTTTCCTCATCACTACAATCTTTTACCGACGGAACTTCATGATACTTTTAAGGAGTTAGATGGTGCACACAAGCTCGGAAAACGCCCTCCTGTGGACTTCAGTATTCTCGACATCAGAGTTGGTCGAATACTCAGGGTAACCAAGAATCCCGCCAGTGTAAAGGCACTCAAGAAATCTTACGTCTGTAGAGTTGAAATCGGATGGGAGCGGGCTCCACGAGTGATTGTAAGTTAAGGTTTTCTAATTCATTCAACTTATAAATGAAAACTTCTGTTTCCCAGTCTCAAGAACAATTTATTAAATATCTAGCTTTACCAATTGTTGCCAGAGGTTCTTGAATTATGTTGATATATATGATCCCAATATACATTTTCCCACACGTATCAGGCAGCAAAGTGTTCTAGTTATTAATCATCAATCATTGAGATGGGACACACCCTACTCGCGTATTTTTCCACAAAATATGAGTGTAGAATGGAGTATGATGCATTGTGTAGCTTTCTTACTTACTAAGACCAGCTGTTTTATTATACTACGTTTACAAAATTTAGGCGGTTTTAGGGGAAACAATCTATCCACCAAAACATTCATACAAACTATTCACCTCATGAATCTTCTACATCACGAGTTTCATTTGATAAAGTTGCTGCTACGAGCCGCCGCAACACTAACACTAATAATTAATTCTCACAAGAACAATCTGATGATACCCCTAATACGTCTGTGTTACAAAACTTGTAACAAATAATCCTAGATGTGGTGAAATTGTTCATTCCTACTCTCAAAAAGAATTGTAAACATCAGATATGGGGTTGCAGAACCACAAATCCAAATGGAAACCGTTTGTTATGACTGACAAATAACTCAAACGTACTGATTGATGCGCCACAAGAATCAACACATTTTCTATGGCAACCTAATTAACGGCCAGATATACTTGGTTTGGTTCTACACAAAAACTTTACAGCTCCAATGTTTAACCCGAGCTGGACTCTGACCATTCTCCCGGCATAGTGTTTTCATTCTATAAAAGATTTTTTTGAAATGCCTTTTATTAATTTAGTAGAGCAAGCAAATTTACCAAAATTACTGTTTGATTTAGTTGGTTATGGGGTTCAATACCAATTGCCTTGAATTTTTCTTAATAATGATTATTTGGTTGTAATATTAAAATATGTATTGCAACATGTCTCCTTGTGTGTAGTTAGCTATATTGTATTCATTAACTGACTATGCTAATTTTAGCAGTACAGCATTATGACATTGTCAATAATTTGTATAAATTCACAAGACAATTAACACATTTCATTTCATAGTAACCTTCTTCACGCAACCTCAATTCAGTTGGCCACATCAACGACTAATTAATGGAAAAATAAATTGGGAAAATTTCAGTTCAGAAAGTTAGGTGACTTTGGCAGCAGTACAGTCTACCACTTTTTAAAAGGTATCTCAACGAACTGGGAAGAAGAGTGAAAACAGAACTCGAGGAATTTATAATAGACATCTATAAGAAGTATGTTTCTGATATTTACATCAGAGTGACCCAAATATGTGGAAAGCAACTAAACGCCTTTTAAATACTCCTTTGGTTATTCCTACGTTAAAAAAAGACAACCTAACCTGTGAGACTGATTCACAGAAGTGTGAACTGTTGGCAGATTTTTTGATAATATGGTAAATGAGACTTAAAATGAACAATTTTTATCTGCTAAGCTACCAATAAAGTTTACAAGCCAATCTGAATTTAAGGCAGTAATTAAAAAACGTCCACTCCGTAAATCACCTGGCCATGACCTTATTCCTAATATTGATCAAAATCAAAACCAACAAAGGCTTTTCATATTTCACATTAATTATTAATGCATCTTTGTCTAAATCTTACTTCCCTTCTATTTGGAAGTATGCAGAAATATCAGTTATTCATAAACCCAATGAACCAAAGTCTTCTCCATCAAGTTACCGTCCAATCAGCTTACTGTCTACACGTTCTAATTTTTTTGAAAAAAATCATCCTCAAATGAATTGCCTGTTACATAGATGCTGCAAATATAATTCCTGCTCATCAATTTAGATTTCGGCCGAAACATTCGCCTATACACATCAAATCTTACGTAGGTGTATATGAAACGGTACCGAAGTCAAAGGGTTTAAGAGGAAACAGCACACAGTAGCGGCATTTATTGTCATATCTCAGGCATTCGATAAGGTATGGCATGACGGTCTTGTTTTTAAATTGATTCATTTTGGATTTCCAAAGTATTTAACCGATATTGTAAAATCGTTTCTTTGTCAGAGGACCTTGTCTGTTAAAATATGTTCTTCTAAATTATCTATTCGACGAGTCAATGCAGGTGTTCCACAAGGACCAATGTTGGGCCCTGTTTTATTCAATCTGTACATGGCAGACATTCCTCTTCCAGAAGAGAAGACGCCTCATTAGCTCTGTACGCCAACGACACTGGTGTGCCAACAATCCGATATCCACGAGGCCACGCCCACATATTCCCTGTAATATTCTGTGGACGTTCTCATTGATTGGTTCTACAAGTGAAAATGTTCACCTAAATTCAATTAAAATGTGAGACCAAAATATTTTCCTTGAAAAAAAAACATACATTGCTACATGAAATTTAAATACAGTATACGATAACTTTCTACCGTGGAACCCTGATGACGAGGCCATAAAATATCTTGGAATATGGCTGGGCAAAAACTTAATTGGAACTACCACGTTAATAAATATCTGTCCCTAGGTTATGCACGCCTTGCAAAGCTTTTCCCTTTGATCAATAGGAAATCTACTCTGAAGCCAGCTTGTACAGTTCTCATCTACAAATCAATAATTCGGCCTTTGATTACATATGCATCTCCTATCTGGGGTGGGGATTAGCTATATCAAAAAATAAACTCTTCAAAATTCAAGTGATCCAAAACAAATGTCTAAGAATGTCTCATTAGTCAAGAGCATTTATTTAAAACCCAATAATCAGGAACGGGTCGCCGGAATTTTATCCCCCTGGAATTTTACCCCCTGGGCAAAGCTGACGTCACTATGACGTAGTAACTTGAGTGGCCAAAAGTTTGTTCGCGGCCGGAATTTTACCCCCGCGGATTTGGAAGTCTAATGAAAATAGTCAGAGCGTGATTAATTAGATTAGCGATAAAACCCGGAATTTTACCCCCTGTCCATATAACTAGCGTGTAGGCAACTGAAGATGTACGGGCCGGATTTTTACCCCCGGAATTTTACCCCCCGGAATTTTACCCCCTGGCTGATTTTAGAAATTGAATGATTGATTTTCTTATTTCTGTTTTTAATTAATTGTAAACATTTCATTATTTAGTAGCCTATCTTTATTTATTTACTTTCTAATCTCAACTAAGTAAACAGAATTCGCTGTTTTATTTTGATCATATTAACCAACAGTTGGCTTCAAAGATCAAATCCTGACACTCGAATCTCAAAATTAATATTAAAACCCTGTTCAATTAGTTAATGTTACATATAAATTAAGATAGGCTACTTAATAATAAAATGTTTACCATTAAATTAAAACTGAATAACGATAATTAATCATTCTCACTAATTTATATCTGGTCAGGGGGTAAAATTCCGGGGGGTAAAATTCCGGGGGGTAAAATTCCGGGGGTAAAATTCTGAGGGTAAAATTCTGGGGGGTAAAAATCCGGGCCGTACATTCTAGGTTTTTATAATTTGATGTGTTCTGATTAAACTCACAACCGTGAAAATATATGTTTAATTCCACGTTTAATCCATCGAGCTGATGTCGCGAAACTCAAAAGTTCGCGGCCGGAATTTTACCCCCTGGTTTGTGACGTCACGTTTGCCCAGGGGGTAAAATTCCAGTGGGATAAAAATCCGCTACCCCTCAGGAACAGCTGTATCCAGTTTTTTAACTATCAAAAAACTATTGGATTTACTCAGGATCGATCCGGCAACCTCTTGATTGATAGGCGAGAACTATAACCACTCAGTTACCCAGCCAGTTACATATAAGTTTATATTTATCACTTATGCCAACCTAGTAAATAAATAGTAGTATAGTGTTTTATTTAAGAGATGTTAATATAAACATTTACCCTGATGATACTAAACACGTGGCAAAATGTATATCCGTCTCATATCAACATATATTTCAAGAACCTGACAAACATAAGGTAAAGATCCATACTTATTATTTTCATGTTGGAAGCCATGTTTCGTGTCTACAGGTGGTTGAGCTGGCTAAGTACTACACTAGAGACCAGCTGAAGCTTGCCAAATGCGTCGTGCTGTGTAATATTACTCCTGTCAGCATCTTCGGACAGAGGTCCTGGGGATGGATTCTGGCTGCGGAGACTCCCGACAAGGATCTAGAACTGCTCCGTCCTCCTCCTGAAACTGATATGACAGAACAGGTTAAACATGAACATTTGATTTATTTCATTACATAATCCTCAAACATTAATCTCAACCTTCCGGTTTGCTCTAACAAAACTACACCAATAGAGGATACCTAATTTGGTTTAGCTTAGTTTGTTGTTGGTTTGTAATCACTGTGTGGTGTGTGCTTATATTATTTGCTTTAGAAAATTAAAAAAAAAAAATAGGTAGAGCTGCGGTTTTTTTGTGCGAAACACAGAGTGTGGAGTCCACTCTTCTCTTGCTTTGGGTAATTTAATAGTCACTTTTAATTATTTTCCTAGAGGTGGAGTGGGCCGCCATTGGGATTGCTTCTCACTCCGCCCTTCAAGTCCTGGGCCTAGAAAAACCTGGCTTTTTTACTGTATTTTCCTAGGCGGTAGTGGAGCGTGGATCGTGAAGGGTGAAGTGTGGATGAGAAGTGTGATCATATGCTCAGTTCAGTGGCGGCCCACTCTGCTTCTAGGAAAACAGTACCAAATTAATTACCTAAGACCAGCCGCTCTCCGTTTTTGCACCTAGGAACATCCATCCAGCTTAACAAACTACTAGATTATCTCTATAGTGTCTACTTAGACAATTATTATTGAAACTATAAAACCAGTACATGGTCTATTTATTTATATGAACACTTTTACTTCCTACAGTATAAAATTCAATGAAGGTTAAACAGCAAAATATCAAGTATAGCAAAAACTTAATAAAAAAAAACAAAAAAAAAAAACAAAGGTATACATTAGTGTTATGGTAAGTCATGTTACAAAAAACTAAAGCAGATTATACAACTTCAATAATAGAGGACTCTAAAAGGCCTCATTCATTATAAGTTCTCTTATGAGTACCTGGAATTGGCTACTACTAGTCCACTTAGATGGGATCTACTTCAGTATCCAAGTAGTGGTTAAACCAATTCAAACATACTTTACCATAATTAGCTCTGTGTTTTATAGACTAGTAAAAATAGCTTAAAATTTACCTATACCTAGAAGTAATTGTAATATAATTTCTGTCAATGGATTCTTATGTAAAAATGGCTGAAAAAAACGATGGTGAAAAGTCTACCACTCTACGGAGGTGCGTTGGCCTTGTATGAAAGGTTTTTCAAAATGGCTACCGGAAATATTTATGCTTTTAGCCAATAAGTCCTAAATTATTATAGGTAGCTTAAATAAGTAAATGAGTAAATTTTAAAGAATTAAATTGCGCAACTTTTGGTATATAACAAGTTAAATTAAGGTAAGTACTTACATTTTTACAAGAAAATAATGTTTTCAAACAATTTTAATAATTTATTGTAATTCAGGGAACTTTTGAGTTATGGGCTTCAAGTTGGCAACAATGTTTGTTTTGTTCCAGCTGAGAGTTCTAATTGTTGTTGTTATTATTTCAACATGTTTCTAGTTTACTTTCATGAGTTTCTTGTTAGTCCCCCTAAGTATGACCATTGTAAAATAGAGAAATAAATATCGAAAACCTGTTTTATTTGTGAACAAATTATACACGACGGTTGTGAGGTGTCATATCTCACTGAAAAATGAATTGAAGCAATACACCGACCTGTAAGGCAAGGTAAATAACTGAATTTCATGTAATTGTTGGTCAAAAAGTTCATAAAAAATGTAGGGCGCAGTTTATTAATTTAATATCTCCATTCAGAAAGCAGGATGATGAAACCAGTTGTTCCCGTTCGACACGTTTTAGTGAAACCTATTTTGATTTCAAAAGTAATTGTTTTTGTGCACAGCTGATGTAAGCCTAACATATAAATAGAGGAAAAAACTAATAAATGATTTGAAGCTCGGACGCTAAACTTAGGAACATTAGTGCTATAAAAGTGAAACGAACGTAATGATGAATGGGCTGACAAAGTCAAAATATAACTTTTATGTATACGATTTGCCTGCTATGAAAGCATGTTATCACAAACAATGTTTACAGTATTATACTTTCGAAATGGAAAATCTATACCAAAACAGTAGGAACAATAGGAATATCTTTAATCTCGTTGCGAATTAATGTGGCTGCTGCTGAAATCATATTTATTTGTTCTTTTTCAGTCTCATCTTTAGTTTTTGATTTATGATACTCCTGCAACACATAAGAAGCCGTACTTTTAAAATTAACAATGTCCTTATAGTTCCAACTGTGTCAATAAAGATTTAATTCTCAAAATGGTATATGAGTTCTGTTTCATAAACTTATCTGAATAAGGTTCATACTCACAGGTTGCAGGTATAAATTCTTTCAATTTATGTCACTGATGGTTAATTGTTCTTCATCGTTTTCTCTCATGTACATTGCGACTTTTAAAATGTTTCGTGGCGTACTTCATCTCCTGGGCGACCGGGCAGAGCTTTAGGAACGTCACTAAGTTGTTGTGGTACAGATTTTCCATTTCGAAAGTTTACTATTATTGTTTTTGATAACATGCTTTCATAGCAGGCAAATCGACCACGTTTAGAAACCGTATTTTGACTTTGTCAGCTCATTCATCATTACGTTCGTTGCACTTTTATAGCACTGATGTTCTTAAGTTTAGCGTCCGAGCTTCAAATCATTTATTAGTTTTTTCCTCTATTTATATGTTAGGCTTACATCAGCTGTGCACAAAAACAATTACTTTTGAAATCAAAATAGGTTTCACTAAAACGTGTCGAACGGGAACAACTGGTTTCATCCTCCTGCTTTCTGATTTGAGACATTAAATTAATAAACTGCGCCCTACATTTTTTATGAATTTTTTGACCAACAATTACTAGGAGAGATGTGAGAGAGAGGAGTACAAGACAGGATGGCCTGCTGCACTTGCCTCGCGTCCAGTTGGAACATGGTAAAAGGGGCTTTCTTTTTTTGCTCCTCAAAAATACGACCAACTGCCAGAAAATGTAAAAAAAAAAACTTAGTTATAAGCCTTTCCGACTGAACTCCAAAAAATGCCTTTTGTAAATATAAGTTAAGGTAGCCTATTGTTAGTTAATAAGTCAATTATTGTTATTATAATATTTCTTTTGTATTGACTTGAGTAGTTTTGAAAAACAGTATTGTTACTGTAGACCGCTTGAAATAGAAGACGTTTTATTATTATTATTATTAAAATTACATGGAATTAATTTATTTTCCTTGCTTTACATGTCGGTGTATTGCTTCAATTCATTTTTCAGTGAGATATGACACCTCACAACCGTCGTGTATAATTTGTTCACAAATAAAACAGGTTTTCGATATTTATTTCTCTATTTTACAATGGTCATACTTAGGGGGACTAACAAGAAACTCATGAAAGTAAACTAGAAACATGTTGAAATAATAACAACAACAATTAGAACTCTCAGCTGGAACAAAACAAACATTGTTGCCAACTTGAAGCCCATAACTCAAAATTTCCCTGAATTACAATCAATTATTAAAATTGTTTGACAACATTATTTTCTTGTAAAATTGTAAGTACTTACCTTAACTTAACTTACTATACACCAAAAGTTGCGCAATTTAATTCTTCAAAATTTACTCATTTACTTATTTAAGCTACCTGTAATAATTTAGGACTTATTGGCTAAAAACATAAATATTTCCGGTAGCCATTTTGAAAAACCTTTCATACAAGGCCAACGCACCTCCGTAGAGTGGTAGACTTTTCACCATCGTTTTTTTCAGCCATTTTTACATAAGAATCCATTGACAGAAATTATATTACAATTACTTCTAGGTTAACCAACAATTTTACTAGTCTATTAGGTGACAGTGTGGGGGTTTCCCCCAGTAAAGAATCTCAGAGAGGAGCCAGAGCTGAATGTGAAACAGCTGAAGAAGCTGTTCAAAGACATGCGAGTGAACGCAGAGGGCGTAGCTGAGTGGCAGGGGATGCCAATGTGTGTTGAGGGTGGCACCAACCCCATCAGAGCTGGTCGCTACGCCCGCGATACTCCCATTATCAATGCTCTCAAGAATAGAAGTTGGTCAAAGTACAAGACACCGACATTTGCAGAATATAAAAAACAATTTCGAGAGTATATGCTGTGATATTTACAAACGACTGTCGACTGTGCTATCAAATATATGTTTGAAGTATAATATATATATTTGTCTTTATATCCTTTTTACTCGATAACATCAAATACTTTATAGAGGAAGTGAAAAATATAAAAATCAAAATTTCAAACAAATGAAAAATTGCCTGGAGATACCATGTATTAGTACCTACATACCAATTTTCATCAAAATTGGACTACAGGTGAGGTCTGTAGCTCTGTAGACGGATACACACACATGCACACAGTCATCACTTCGAAAACTTTTTTGGGTTCAGGGGGGCCCAAAACGAAAATACCAACCCAAAACTCAAACTCGAAAATATTGACGAAGGCGAAAACAATTACTTTCCCCATATTATACCATGTATAGGGAGAGAAAGTAAATAGTATATTTCATTACTAGGACCGAAAGTGGCATTTTCCGGCGCGCGCTCAAGTTTTTGTGTGAGGCAAAGCCGAACACAGGAAACACCAATTTCGCGTGCGAGGCGAAGCCGAGTACGTGAGAGCTATTTTCACGTACGAGGTGAAGCCGAGGGCGGGAATAATGGAGCAAGTGCCGGATAATAACTTTCGGTACGAGTTATACTTTTCATCACGACGCAAAAATACACAAACACAGAATAGCAGACCTCATCAGTAATATTACAATAATTATCTATCAAACAATTTGTTTAAACATAAAAATAAAATAAAATCTTCTAAAAGTAAACCTATGTTCATTTTTGTTCACCTGTGTATGTGCACCTATTGGCAGGCCTGCACCGGAAATTTGGCAACAATCGGCCGTGTTTACATCCGGTTTGGAGCATTCAAAATGGTGCCGCCAATTGGACTGCCGCTCGCCGCTGACTGCCCAGACAGCACGTGAGCTTGGACCAAACTTGGTTTTTACACATTTCTGAATTGGTATGACAAACTTGGAGTTTGGAACCCACTACAAATTTAAAACAGCTTTGGTTAAGTGAACTTGTGTGAATGCGCCAAAACTAAACTTGTTTTATTTACGTATGTAACCTGGTTGGCCAAGTCCACAATTTAAACACCTAACCAGACCCACGACAAGCTTGTTCATGTGAGTCTAAAGTGAGCAGTGCCATATGACAAAAGAATTTTCCCTCCACCCCTATCCAGAACGCTTCTAAAACCTGTTTCTTTGTGCTGAACCACCATTTTTGTTGGATTTAGACTTCCTCACTCTCAGTTGTCAGTTCTCACTAGTTCTGGTGTTGTGAGTTACTCGTTTCGTTACTAGTTGTGAGTTTTGTTTATGGTTTTGATACCAAGACGAAGCAAAGAAGAATTAAGGGATTCCTGTAAAGGTAAGATTTAAACTCCATTGATAAAAAATATACTTGTGTTGGTAAGACTATGATGATATAAGTAAGCTAAGCAAACAATTAATTTAATTGCATCAAGAACCCGTAGAATTTTGTTTATAGCCTAAACCTTTTGTGCTTTAACCTTTGACATACTCAGCGCTTCACTGAATCGACAACGTCACTCACTATACTATACTCTAATAGTCTACTGCTGAACTCAACAGAACAGTGCCAAAATTTGTGTTTAACCATGGTTTAACCTTAACCATTATAGTCAATGCCTTAACCTAGTCTACAGATAAAAACAGGCCAAACCATTAGTTTACGTATAAAAGTAAAATAGTAAGAAATAAAAGTTTGATAACAATTTTAAAAACAAAGGTAAGTTAACACCCTGTGTTTGCAACACCAAAAAATTCCAAATAATCAAATAATTATAATAACAAATAAAAATAATGAAAAATGATTTAAATGATAAATTTTAATAAACCAAATAATTCTAATGCAATTGTATTTTTTATAGATCTTCTGAAGCAGGCGGTGGAGTTGATGGGTTCAGAAAAGAAGTTGAAGGTGAAGTGGAAGATAGTGGGCATTGTATTTATTATATTAATAAATTGTCTGTCTTGAAATGTGAATGTCTTGCTTTCTAAACCTCATATATAACCAATATTTTTTCAAGATCACTCATAAAAAAGGCTTCATTTTATCATAAATCTTTCTTGGTAAAAAATTAATTATAAGAAAAAATGTGGGCTAGCAAATGAATGGTGTGAAACAGCTTATATGTTAAATAGGTATAAATTATATTAATATTACTATAGCCTATTATAATAATAATTATTATTATTATCACTATGATCATGACAGTAATTGAAGTATATAAAACTTCGTACCAAGTTCTGAGTGAGTCTATAGGTGTGAGCTTGTTTGCCCAAGTCTAAAATGTGCTAAAACCAATTCCAATATGAGTCTAGGCCAAGTCCAATATGAGCCTACTAAAAGCGGGCTTGGGTTTCCAAGTCCATAATGAGCCTGTTTAATTTATCAGTGTGAGCTTGTTTGCCCAAGTCTAAAATGTGCTAAAACCAATTCCAATATGAGTCTAAGCCAAGTCCAATATGAGCCTACTAAAATTGGGCTTGGGTCTCCAAGTCCCGAACAAGTCCATAATGAGCCTGCTTAATCCACCAGACCCGTTTTGTATCCATCATTCCAAGCTTAGAGTGGGTTTGTGCCCATGAGTTCACTGTAGGTTTGGGGTTGTGACTTGGGTTGGACTTGGGGAGCCAAACCCATAACAAGTTGAACAACTGCCAACTTCGGTCTCTAAAACAAGTCAAAACCAAGCCTACAGACTTTGGTCCCTGAGTCTAAACCAGGCTTGGGAACTTGGGCCAATGGACTTGGAACAAGTTCCCAGCAAGCCCATTGTGCTGTTGGGGTGTGAAGTGCGCACTGTAATTAGATTTTTAAGTATGGCGAAAACATTATGTGTGACGGAATGGTACGCAAGTGAGTAAGGCTTTTAAAGACGGCCGCACCAACGTTCACGATGAGCAACGCACTGGGCGGTCATCTGCCATGTTACTGATGAATTGGTTAAGTCGAAAAGTGAATGAGAACAGTAGGTTCACCATCTCATCATTATATGAGGAGTTTAATTTACTCATAAATGTTCTCACCATATACTTCACTAATCTGACAATGAATTTCAATGGCTTTCACACCTTTAGAACTTAAAAATCTAATTCCAGCGCGCACTTCACAGTAGGCGGCAGTCTCAATTGGTGGCACCATTGAGATCGTGTGCAGACCATTTAGTGGGGGAGCTACGTATATCAAAACTGCAAATTGTGATAAGAAAACCCCTTTTGGTATGAATGTAGGTTATGGTCCGACAACTAAAATAAGATGGGGAGGCATTGCCCAAAGTTGTTATAATCCAAAATGGCAGCCATTTTTCAAAATGGCTGCCCATATTTTGTGTTTACTTAGTTATTCACTGATAAAAGCTTGAAAATGGCATTAACACTATCGGATATTGGTATAATCTTAATCTGGAGATTCCGGCCTTTAATTTAATACCAAGTTTGTAATATATTACAATTATATCATCTTTATAATATAAGGCTGAAAATGTACTCGTTTTCAGCCAATTCTAAAGGTCATCAAAAAGCTGTTTATTTTAAGGGTTAAGTTTTTCACCTACAACGTTTTATTTACAACGTTTCCTACAATTATTATTATTTTTCACCTTTGCCTACATCCATTTTAAGACATAAGGAAAATACAAATTAAGCGAATTCACTGGAAAGAGAGTTTTATGGTTTTATCTTCTTCCTTGAGATGTTTTTCCATAAAATATAAGAGGATAAAAATGTCAACAAAATTATGACACTTTCAATTATTATTCTCTACCAAGGTTGGCAATGCTAAATAGACAAATATTGCCAAACAGCTGATACTACAGGTCATTGTTGTGTTTAAAACCTGTACAAATGTGGCCGTCACACCGGGCCTAACACGATGCTAGTTCTGGGGGTTTTATTTTTTTCTGATTTGAGTGAATGAAGATTGGATTCTAAAAATGGCAAAGCGGTTACACTTAGTTCCTCAGAGTGACTTGGGTGGATACTAACCAAAAGCTGTTGATCGGACCATTTTTATACTGCGCCAAAAGACAGATAATGATAGATTGCTTTGTCCTAAAAATAATAAAAATGTAAATGCTTGTAGCCCCAGACATGTAACGCTTGTCAAAAACTTTCAGAACTTTGATGATACGAATGGCTTACCCGCCGATATTGATATAAATGTTTTCAATGAAAATCGGTGTAGAATGAAATGAATCAGAAAATCAGAAATAATTTGATTAAAAAAATAGTTTGAGAAGAAACATTTTTCATGACCAAAAATAATCACTAGAAAGTCTTCCACCAATAAAAGGTGCACTACTACAGCAAGTATTGCGTAGTGTGCAACATCACTAAACGATTGAGGTTAGAGTTTGCATAATGAATCTTGGCAGTTTAAATGGTCGGAATTATTAGAAATTTCTGATTCCTGCAAAGAACTCATAAAATGTGTTTGCAGATTCTGTAAAAACAAGTGCAGCTGCAGAACTGCTCGTTTATCTTGCACGTTATTGTGCAAATACAGTGAATGTGAACAATAATACCCCCGCAGCAACAAACCTACATACCAAGTGAATTTCCATTTGTCTGAATTGATTTTCAATTAAATCTATTCAAACAACATTAGGTTTAACGAGTACCTAGGATTGTTGCTACAAGGAAACTAATAAATTTAGTTTTTAGTCAAATATTAATAGCTTGGTATAAGATAAATAAATTTACCATTTTTATTTACATATATCCATATACAAGCAAACTACAACATTTTACAATATTCTCCATAAAAATAACATGAATATTTTAAATTTGCAATTTTGTTCTCTCTGTTACCAATAACCCTACAAAAACACTTTGATATACTAAATTATTTGTTTTTAAGCTCTTCAATAAGGTATAGAGATAAATTGGAAAATTTTATGTTTTGAGGTTTAACAATTAGAAAACCCAATTTTTACCCCATAAAACCCCCTGTAAAACACCGTTCATATGGTCTGATCATGTTGATTCGCGAACCCTTTCAAGTTTATCCTGCTTTACACCTTTAAACCAAATTTCATCAAAATCGGACAAAAATTACTCAAGTTATCGTGTTCACGGACACACACACACACAAATATATACATATATAAAAAATTGAACGAATGACGAATGGTGTTTTTTGCCTCTGGGGACATTAAAATGACAAAGTAAATCGGTCCCGGGCCTAGGTCTTACCATGCCACCTACGGTAATAGCTACTTCCCTATAGGCAAATTAGCTACAAATGGTGTTGGTAGAAATATTCTGCAACTTATAAAATATAGCATGTTTTTTTATTTGGTGATATAAATTTTCTGTAAATAAATTTACGTTTATTACATATTTAACTTATTTACTTACCTTATACCTAAAAACTAAAAAAAATTATCAGAAACACCATTTTGCATGATGTATATCAAAAGAAAATATATAAAACCCAAAATACAGGCAGCCATTTTGAAAAATCGCCGCCATTTTGGATTATAGCAACTTTGGTTGGTGCCTCCCCATCTTATTTGCATTGCCTAACCTTAAACTACATTCCCACCAAATGGCATACTCTTATCACAATTTGCAGTTTTCTTATGGTTTTTCTACTGTAGCTCCCCCACTAATTGAGATATGGATTATAACTCAGTTATTATTATAGCTCAGTGGTGCAGACGGTGCACACTACAGACGGTGTACCTCGTCCGGGGGTACACTAGCCCACCCCCCCCAATGAACACAGTTTCCGTAACACAATTAATTAAGCACGCGCGTGCTGGGGGTATGCCAGACGCCAGACCCAGGGTGGTGATAACTGGTCTATGAGTACGTCAAACCTAACAACCCTTAGCCAGATATGATGGCATATTGGCATATGGTATTTTAGTAAGCTACTCTTATTCTCACTAGGTCTGTCACTAAACTTTTAAAATTATGACAAAAATGTACAGGGGGTCCACCCTTCTTAAGATTATATAAAGATAGCCATCTTTAGTATAGTATTACTAGAGACGGCTATGCCCACGCTCGTGGTTAAGTGTTAAGCATACAATAACATCTCAGACTGAGAAGATTGAAGAGGTCATCAGTTAACTTATATGTGGCATTTTGGACAGAAAGGAAGCCTAGACTAACTAAAGAGTCGCCGGAAATTTATCCCCCTGGAATTTTACCCCCTGAGGACAGAGTTGACGTCGCTATGACGTATTATCTGAGCGCTCTCAAGTTTGTTAACGGGCGGGATTCTACCCCTGTTGATTTGGGAGTCTAATGAAAATATACAGAGCGTGATAAATTAGATAAGCAGTAAAAGCAGGAATTTTACCCACCCCATGATACGCATTAAACACTAAACAGATCATTTACTTGGTCTAAAATCAATGGTCTTACATTCAAGTAAGGTAAATCGTAGATGTTTAAAACATAGGATCTATGATAAAACATAGGAGTATGTTTCATCGATGGTTAAATTTGTCTTAGATTTTGTACGCATTTTTATATAGTAAATATTAGATGAACTGTTTTACGTATTTCTAGGTTGGCTACTCTGTAGGTTCAGTCTTTTATGTTCATCCATTCCATTCTCCATTGGTCCAGAGGTCCATTCATTCATTCATAGCTCCTAGCAGTCCTAGCGTCCTAGCAGATAGTCCATTGATTGTTTTTGTTGACAAGTTCTCTTGTCTGTCGATTCCTTAGGAAAATGTCTTTTACACAATTTTGTCAATTAATATAGACTACTAACTAGAATTACGTCCATTTCTAGTTAGGGTACTTTGTGGAAATGGCTTCAATAGAGGTGTGGAGGGAATGTGCTAGCTGGTTAACCAAATGTGGTGTTTTAAGACCCGATCATAAAGCAAACTGGCCTGACGCCTCTCTGTCAGATTTGGCATATACTCTCAGAGATGGTGTTTTACTTTGTAACTTATTAAATTCCATAGAAAAAGGCTGTGTTGATATGAAGGATGTCAACCAGAAACCTCAAATGGCTCAGGTAGGATAGTTAAATTTATTTTTATTTTTAAGTAGGAAAGTAGGACAACCTGCTCTTCACATAGCCTAGTGCTGCTCAATTAAATTTAACTTCGATAATACTCATTTGTCCGCACTGATTAAATATACCTACCTAAAGGAATAGATGAAGTAGAAAAGTACAGTTCTTTGTCATACTTAACTTAGGCTTGACAAGCTAGGCTAAGGACGCGTAGGCCTGTCCTCTGTGTATTAAAATAGTGGCTTAAACACAACAAAATAACAATTTCAAAAATGCAAGCATGCTTAAATAAGTAAGATATGAAGAATTCAATTTTCAGATGTGTTTTAGGCTACTTAGATGTTTGTAAAACATATAAGTAAGTTACTTTGAATGCCTTTGCATTAGGCTAACTTATGTTTATCTCCTCTCCTCTTCAGTTTTCGTATTTTCATTTAGGCTATTTCGGTTATAACTTTAACTTAGTTAACCGTAATGTGGCATGCAGACAAGAATGTAGAATGAACTCAAATAAAAACTTCAAACTATCTTAGTTAATATTCGTAACCTCTGAGAATTGTTTTACCGTTATTTTCAGGTTAAAAGTGAGTCTTATAATTTAATATTTACTTAAATCGACTGCACTTTACTTAACTTATGTCCTACACTCATTCAAATGAAGATATGGATCGATTTTATCGAATCGATATTACGATTAGGCTACTCACTATTTCGATTGCGGTATTCTATACATCGATTAAGTTATTGCATGGTTTTTGTTTTGATATTTATATTTTTGGTAATTATTCCGTTTAGGTGCCTCCAAACGAATTTTTTATTTTGATATCTTACTTTATAGTTTTTTACCTCCTGAATCCAAATTACCATTATTTTTCACCGCTGATGAATAAGTTATTTCTCAAGATATCGCCGTAAAAACATACAACATTACAATAAACAAGGTAGGATGGATAACATTTACAAGTGGAATGAACTGTGCGTAACTAAGCCTACAGCTGACTGTTTTCAACCACACGACAAGCAACTGGAAGTAACAACTTTTGAACTTAATTAACTCACTCTGATTCTATCATCAGCATTATGCCTAGTGACGTCATTTTACTTCACTACAACTAGAACTCAAAACAAAAATACTCATACTCATACGTGCTGTGTAGTGATAGTCTGCTACGCCGTTACAAGTCCAGGTTAAGTGAAGAGAGTAACATGGTTGATGAGAAGAAGAACATCGTTGATTAAACATGATAACATCGTTGTAGAAACATTTCAAGTGATTCTGTAGTCAATAATGTTTTCTATAGCCTAATAGGAATTTCGTCACATTATGGAGATATAGATGGACTGGTGGACTAATTACATGTAGTTCTTATTTAGGCATGTCAGGGTGGTAGGTCGTGCTGTATGTGAATTGGTGACTGCATTAAGTGTTTTCAAGTTAGGTTAGATTAGGTATTATTGGTCTTAGAAAGTGAAAAGTGTAACTTAATCACGTGACTGCGTGACTCATATTGCAGAATCAGACTTAGCTAATTAAAGTTGTCACTATCATTTGCTTGACTATGATTGAAAACAATCAGCTGTTGGCTTACTTAACCCATAGTTCATTCCACTTGTAAATGTCATCCACCCTACCTTAAATAAATACCACATTTTTGTTTATTTCATTGCTTTTTTTGTATAGGCCTAAGTCAATTTAAACAAACGTCACGATGAATTATCGAGAATTTAGTCAGATTATTTTATGTAATCCTGAAAGTTGTTTCAAATGGATGCAAGATCAAGGATTAGTACCTGATACGGGTACACTTCCATATCCGTTGGCACAAACAACCGAATGATTAATATTGATTATTCAATTGTTTAATTCGCTATATTGTTTGGTTAGTTAGGTTAACCTTAGGCCTACCTAACCAACCAAACAATAAATCGAATAATCGATATATCGATAGATTTTTTCATTCGGTTGTTTGTGCCAACAGATATGGAAGTGTACCCCCTGATACTCCTAAATGTGACGCCTGTAACGATGATATGGAAGTTAGAATACAAGGTGATAAATCAGGTAGATTTTAGAAGTCAAAAACAATCTAAACCACACTCACTATCTAAATGACGTTTAGTATCTAGGAATAAGGCTATAATTGGTACCTAGTTTGGTTTTTGTTTTTTTTTTATCCTATTAAATTGTTACCTATATTTTTTAATTTTCTTTATTTACAAATTTAAGATAAACTAACTTAACTGATCATAATTACAGCTGATATATAATTTTAAACAATATTAAAAATCAATTGAAAATAATCATAATTACGATTATTTGATATTGATGAATCGATATAGGCCTATTGATCGATATTTTCATTTTAATGAGTGCAGGACGTAAAGTAAAGTGCAGCCCTTTAATCACTTACAATAAACGTAATACGGTATATAAAGTTTCTGGTGAGGAATTATCTTATGAGCGCGAAGAAATTTATGCACCGTTACTTTCAGCTAAAAATCTAGTTTCTAGTGATATATAGGATTAAATCTATATAGGTTCCCATGGTCACGTTAATCACAATAAATACCAAAGTTTTCAAAATCTTATCTAAATCAACACGTTTGTGAATCTTTAAACTGCTGTTGCACCTCTCAGAATGAAGCTAATAGGCTAAGTAATTTTGTAATTTGTTGTTGTTTTTTAAAAGCTCTTTCTAAAACATAGTCTAAATTACTGTGGGGAAAGCACTAGAACCTACGTATGTTGTGTTCTGGTAAAGTCAAACCTGTGTTCTGTATTGAACTCCAAACGTCTTTCAATATAAAATGCTTTCAGAACATCTAACTTAGCCTTAACTATTTAACTAGCCTACTTAAGTAAGTTAGTCTTGTGAAAACTAGGCTATTCTTACTTACCTACCTAACACTTGTTATTAGGCCTATCCATATATAAATCCCAAAGTACCCATGAACTTGTGAGAAAACTACAAGTCACACTCCCATAAATCATATGTAGGGTACTTAAATTGTTCGTCATGACGAGAAACCTTGCGCAAAACTATCCATTATTTCATAAATTGCCCTTTAAGGTTGTAATTCCTTTCCAAAGGGAACTTTCCATATACCTAATGTTAAAAATACCTTAGCTGTACTTATTTGTATCTCAATTCTTTCAATTTATTACCTTATTAAAATGGGGTGTGATTATTTGTTTGTATTACTTTATTCTGTTTAGTGTATTTCAGCTTAACTTAACCAATCAATAATTTCATTAATGCCTATGAAGTCAAACGAGTTGAAGCCTGTGGGTGACAGCTAGTTTACCATTAAACCTTTATCAATTAATTTTCATAGGCCTCCCTAACGTTAATTTTCAACAGTATAAGTAATTAAATGGATGAAACAAAAATTTATGAAGTGTTTCAAGGCCATCATTTTCCTATCTTTAAAATAATGCTGATTTCCTTCTAGTTTTTGTGCCTACGGAACATCAAAACCTTCCTCCAGGTGTGCCAAGATGTGTTTGGGCTTAAAGAAAGTGACCTTTTCGAACCCTCCATGCTTTTTGATCTCACTGACTTTTACGGAGTTCTCTACACACTGTCAAAACTTTCCAACTGCCCAAAAGTGCTCAAGAAAAACATTCAGTAAGTATTTTTAATCATCCAAGTGTAACTTAACTCAAACTGAGTTAGTTTTTTTCGGGTTAATTTATGGTTTTTGCCTATTACAAACTCATGGAGGTTAAAGTAATTTTGACACAAGCATTTTTTAAATAGTGTAGGCTATTTTGCAGTGCCTTACCCAGTGTTTTAAATGGAAAAGAATAGTCTGAAGATAACATAAGCTAACAACTCGGTTCATAATAACCTAAAATTTATTTTATCTGGCTAAATTTTGTTTCAACTTGTTCTGTGTTTGGGCTTTTTTAAGCCTGTATAGTTTATTTTTTTATTTATTATGTCTGTATTGCTCCAACCAATAGAAATGTATGGTAAAGTATACTAAGGGGTTTTTAAGTTTATTAGCTGATAAGTTTGATCATGTATAGTTATTTTTTTGAGGGATTGTTTTATTTAGTCGTCATTTTGACTTGGCATATACATTGTAACTATGTCTACATGCTGAATAAAGAATTTGAATTTGAATTAATTAGGAAGTTAGTGAATACAAATTATCATCAAGGAACAAAATATTGTTCTGCTAGTGGGTAATTGGTAAAAATGTACTTCACCTTTTAAACACACTTCTGGTAGTGTTGAATTTTAATTAAATTAACAGGTTGATTCTTATCAAAATATAAACCATATTTTAGAATGTGGTTAGGCCTATAAATACAGGCCCTTTAAATGGTTTTTGTGACTAGTTATTTATTTAATTAAAACTAAGCTATTTAATTATAATTCTTATTTTATGGTCTTTTATACAGTACAGTACCGGTACCATTATATTATTCTAATAGAAAACAAACATTTTTAGATTTAAAAAATCTAGGCTTCATCAGCCACTTTACTGATTCATTCCATTACCTGTAATACTTTGTGATATTTAAAAATAAAATAAAAATAAATTTACTAATCACACTGAATCAATTGTTTCCAGCGGGTTCTCCATTCACAGATCCAGGACCTCCTCTCAAGAAGACATTTACAGGAATCTCAATGCTAGGTTAGTTATGAAATACGTATTCTTAATCATTAATTGATCCTGAAATGATCTTGAAGTAGGCTTTTGCACTGCAGTCAGCGTCAGAATCCATTGGATTTTTGTATGTAACTGCCTCGTCAGATGAAATACACTGCCAGACATTTCCGCTTTGCAGTAAATTTACTAAGACGAGACATAAGATTTAACCTTACTACTTCACAGAAATAGTCTTGGGAATTTAATCTCATATCATGGTTGCCACTGCAAGATTGAATTTTGTGATGAGGTCTGATTAAAAGTGCCTTAATAGGCTATATATATATACAATGGTTTTCCCAATTTTTTAAATTTGTACAAATAGTTTGATAAAACGTAGATGGTGATGTAGTTTTGTTTGTACAGGGCCTTAACCGTGTTAAAGATGTTTGCTAATTTTTCTTTAATTTAATGTCAATAATAAAATAATCATAGGATCATATACTCAAAATTTAACCTGCAAAAAAAACCTGATAGGTACGGTTGTCGTGCTTCTGTAGGATAAATTACAAGTTAGTTTAGAAGTTTTATATAAATATTTTAAATCATATTTTAAGTTAAAAAACATTGAATTTTTATTAAAAATACGCAGAGGATACGCGTCTGGTAACCGGACGTGGATTAGGCGTCCGGCAGTTACTGTCATAACCTAACCTAACCAACCAAACTTGCTTATAGTGAAAAAAATCAAATGAAGGTTCAATTCTCTTCATGACATAAAATTATAAATGCCAAAAATTCTAACAAAAGATGTACAGTTAAGAAGAAATTACATTCAAAGCAAAATCTGTGACAAAAAGTTAAAGTTACCGATGGGTTTCGAACTGGGGACCTCTCGTATATCAGTCGAGCACTCTATCCACTACACCACGAACACTGATGGCTGTACATCGTATCATTGTGGTAATGGCGTTCCGGGACCCCCTACCGAACGCCTAATTCACGTCTGGTTACCGGACGCCTAATCCACGTCTGGTTACCGGACGCGTATCCTCTGTGTTAAAAATAAGTTATTTGTAAAGCTATTTTTATCAAAGCAAGAAGTCAAGTTATAACTTTTGATGTTGTATGATTTGGTTGCTCAGTTTACTGATATGCAATCATAAACGTTTTCAAGTAGCAAATGACTATAAATATCTTAAGTATGGAAATTGATTAAACACTAAATAATTTCCATAGCTATTTAGCTTAGAATATTATAGATTACATCTGTAACTTGGTACACTCTTCTTTGTTTTTAAATTTGATACCGTATTGAAGTTTTCTTTTAAACAAAGCAAAATAAGCTTAGGTAACTTTCTTGTGGGAATAACCATTTAAATTTATCCAACTTAAAGTTGAATTTTAACCAATTTAATAAAATTATCCACGGTTGTAAGTGTGTAGTAGGATAATATATGTCGTATAAAAGTATTAAAATAACTTTTTTAACCTTTGAAGGAAAGTATCAGTTCAAACCATTATTTTTAATCTTAAGACATTGACACTAGGACCATGAAAATGGATAGTATCCAACATTCATAATTTTCTAAAAACGATTACAGTACCACGCATTATTAAAACCTTTTACTCCTAACAGGATAGTGTCGAGAAAGAAACACAGTTGATAAAGGCTTTACTTTAGTACAGTAGTATTCTACTACAGTAGACTCTCTCTTATCCGGACACCTTTTAACCGGACATCGGTTTAACCAGACTACACTCGGCCGAAACGACATCTGTTCAAGTACATAAAAGAAGACTGTAGATTAGTTATAAGTTTAATACAGTATAACACAATGAACAGTCTTATCGCAGTAGACAATGGCCAGCGGCAAATTGAATGTTCACAATGAAAATACTGACTGAGTTAGAGGTACGATTTAACAGCCATTATAAAACTATTATTCTCATGACAAAATAGGTTTGCACGCTAGTAATAAATAATGGAGGTGAAAGGAATATAAGTGATAAAACTTTAATATGAGCTAAACTACTGACTCAACGAGATCTTGGAAGTACTTACCTTGACCTTGAGTTCAACAATTGTTGTGATAAAAATTTATAGATGTGGCACTGCTAATGGAATTTTTATTGCATCATTATCCTAGTAATAAATTTTATGAAAATCGTATTCTATAAACCTCTTATGTGCTCCTAACCATGGTTACTGTTGACCACAATAGTAAATTGAAAGTTCTTTAAATTATAATAGGCTGTACCGAACCAAATTCGTACCAAGTAAAATGCTGTATCGAACCGATGGCGGTAATTAGGCCAGAACTGTACTGTACCAACTTTTTTGGTGCACCGCAGACCCCTAATAGTAAGATAAACCAAGAATTTTACCAAAAAGTTCAGAACTTTGTAGACCTTTGGTTAACCATGAAACATAAGATTAGGCCTAATATGAAAAATAATAAAACATAGTGTGTGCAGTGATCCCGGCTTAGCCACATAACGTTGTATGTAGGCCTTCTCATTCACAGACTGTTTTGGCTCATCCCTTTAGTTCGATTCTCCAAGTTTCACATTTTGTGTGCAGTGAACTGTGCAATGTGGAGCTCATTGTAAGGAAATATTGCTTGGTTAGTTAAAATGCTGCTGCTGTTTTAAAATGGTCAAGTTTACGGCTAGTTAGGTTGAAACCATACCCATTCAAACTTGACAATGGTTAGGGCCTATCCATTATTGTGAAACCTAGTCAATAAATTGTAAAATAATACTAACCTAAATTATGAACCTAAAAATAAAAATATGATTTTACTTCTTGTCAAGCAAACAAATGTCTGTGGATTTAAATCTCAAACACTCCTTCTTCCTCTTTGGAAATACACAGAATCGGTTTCAGTATTTAAAAAATACCAAAAATTAAATATATTCTTGTTCTTCTAGTAGTACCAACAGTTGCATAGATGATGAGAACCTAAGCTCACTCTACAAGTTTTTGCAAACAATTGAAAAGCGTAGCACAACTGCGGAGCTAGGATAATGCTACTGTGTAGCATTATACTCACTTTTTATACATCTATAAAAGATGTACGCTGCACACAAAATTCCAAGCAAGGTAAAATTAGTGGTACATTCCTGGAGATTCACCCTCCCTAAGTGATAAATAGTTGTATGAGTATGTGTGTACCAGCTGTGGCAGCACTGCCCAAAGTCCCGTTGACCCGACGTGGCTGCAGTTCACCATCAAGAGTCCACAGCTTGATGACCTTGAGGAGGACGTCTACGAGAACTTATGTTACGTCACGTTTTCCTCGGAGGTATTGCCTCCAGTTGAAGTATTGTCTGTTTTCGTTTGCTTTTTCCGTCAGCACAGCACATCAACTAGGGATTGCAAGTAACGTTTAAAAGAGCTTTTTTGTGAGGCCTATTTTGCAGTTAAAGTTGCCTATTTTTGTTTTGTTCAGAGGTTTTTTTTTGTTCACTATGTCAGATTGAAGGTTTGAAGATTGAGGTTGGACTTGGGTTTGGTTTGTTAAATGCAGCAGGTTATTTGCTAGTACTGTATGTTGATAGTTGTATATTTGTTAGTAGTTATTTTGTTGCCGATGCTCATATTTTGCAGATCAGTGCAGATCACATATTAGGAGCCATTTTTTTACTGAAATATTCATTTTGTAGTTAGGACATAATAGTATACTCATCACAACATTAGATTACTGTTATCACTAGTATTACATTTATCAGAAAAAAAGTGTAGCTAGATTTTTTTTTCAGTTGCCTAGGTATTTTTGTTTGATTTCACCGTTGCAAGAGATATACAATTTCTGACTAATAAAGTGTAATTGTAAAGTATCTTCATCGTGTGAGTTGTTACTTAGTTTTATTGGTTTGTTTAACAATGTAAAAAAAATGAGTTACCTTACGAGTACAGTTTTTGTTTGTTTTAAAATTTTAAAACTTTAACGCAATATTTCTTCATATATTTCACAACTTTATATATTTTTTTTTGTTCCATTGCATTGAAATGTCATATTCACTATGATACTATTTACATTTACAAAGGCTTGTATTTATATTTAGGCCTATATTTATATAATATAAAATGACAACATTATATAGTTAAAAATACATATTTTTACAATGTAATGCTTTTCAGCCGCTAACTGCCTTGCAGTGAAGACATTGTGTACGTGTCTGCATACTGGTGCATGCTTTACTTGGTTTAGTTTTCATTAAGTTTGGTTTCCGCCTGGTCAAAGTATGATTTTGAACTAACAAGTAGTTTTTACTCAGAAACATATATTTTTAACATCATTTTACAAACATCAGGTTTAAATATACATACATATCTCCTTCCATTCCTGTAATTCTGTAATTCCCAGTGTACTTGATTGTTGGACGTAACATATTGGGTGATACTCATGATTATATTGTGATATATACACATTATGCCTTGTTCAAAAGGATTAGACCTTTTTTTCTACACCCAGGGTAAAGATCAGTCTAGCAAAAAATTCAGCTTACCCAAGTTCTATACTAGCAAATAAATATTAGGAGACACAAAAATAGATTTCTAGTGAAAATACATTCACACAGTGGTTGATTTTTAGAATCAGAAATACCTGAAACTGGAATCTAACTTGGATTATTATTCTTCTTTTCCATCCTTTACTATCCTTCTAAATCCTTCCTCTACAGTTGTGTTACACATAAACACTAGACAATCGATGAAACAATGTGAAACACCAACACTTGATTGAAAAATATTGACTAAATATGTAACAAAACCCAAAAATGGAACGACTTAGAAAGCTATCCTACTGTACCCCTCAAATCGAGCTGTCAATTATTCAAATCTGAAAACAAAATCATATTTTGACCATGCCGGGTCAGTATAGCGCAATGTGTTGAGTGGGCATGTTGCATGTGTGTGACAGCGAAGAGGTGACGACGCTCGATGTTCGGACGCCGCTCGGCGAACACGTAGAGTACTCACACTACGACGCTCACACACGCAATGAGGAGATATACCAGGACCTGTGTTCCATTGATAAAAAATGTACCGTAGCCACACAGGTATGTTGATACAATAGAACCTCAGGGGTTACAAATGGAAGGAATTGTGAAATAGAGTTTGTAGTCTAGGGATTAGAGTGGGACAGTTATAATACAAAGAAACTTGTACAGTAGACACCCACTTGTTATAGAATGTAAGGAATTTAAAAAAGTTTGAATTGTAGGGGTTAGAGTGAAAACAATGTATATAGGCATCTTCTAATACAAGGTCGTGGCGTTGGTTTGTGGCAATGTCATGCATATTGACATGGGTAATAACAGAAATAACAAAAGTGTAAACATAAACATTGCCTTATAATCTCTATTATAAATTAGTGCAACAGCTGTTTCGTTTTGCCAGGACAGTGGTGTTGCCACTTTTGTCTCGCCGCGGCCTTGTGTTAGAGGTGGCTATGATATAGGTATTGAATAGGAAAAATATACTATAAAGAGACATTTTACGCTTCCTAATTCAACTCATGAAGACTTGAGATCACTGAGCGCTATCTTAGAATTAGGGGATGGGAATTGGTTATTTCACCATTGAAATAAGAGTGAAAGGGCTAACAATAGGCTAGGCCTACTTAAAAATCATGAAATTTGCAATATAATTTTGCAGTTACACTTGACCTTAGCAAATTGCCCACAAACTCTACCAAACATGCTCGATTTCTTCAGTATAAAATAACCTTAAGACTGATGCCGGATTATTGAATGTGACGGCAGCGAGGTTTACTGTATTTGTTATTGTTGTGTTCTGAGTGTAATGTTTTAAAAGATTTTTTTTTAAATTTTTGAGGTTGTATTGGGCTTGCATTTTGTACTGTAGTGAAGGATTTTAAATCAAAATATTAGTGCTTTCAGTTTGTTTCATGTTAGTTACCAGTTACCACTAATTGAAATCACTAGACAGTCTATTGGTTGATTATCTGGAAAATATGTGCTTTTTAGTGAAACATGTTGTAATAATTTTATTTTGTTAGGTAAAGACGTTACATAATGTTCTAAGTTTACTAAATTATAAACATGAATATTGAGTGGCTCGATGCTTACTCTTTATCTACTTTAACATAAATTGCTTTTAAAACTAGAAGTACCTTATTACGTGTTGCTGTTGCTATTGTTGTTTTGTCAACTTAATTTTCTAAACACAAAATAATTTGTAAACTTTGTTGGCATTTTATATAATAAGTTGTCATAAAACACATTTTGGGTTGAAAATGGTGTTATATCTTCTTATAGTAATCCTCAGATCACACTGAGCTACTAGTTTTTTTTTTAAACAATTGAAGTTAACATCACATATTAGTACAACATGAATATGACACTGGTTGGGCAAAAACTAGTTGCATTATGTGAATATTTACACCGTTTTTGCAATTTACTGCAATCCAAAAGCTAAAAAGAGAAAAAATACAACAACGCTAGGTAAAACAAACGTGATTATTGTGAATATCAAAAAAAAGAAAAAGATGAATGACATAGAGAAAAATTTTAATATAAAAATCATCATCATTCATGAACATTTTAGATTTTAACAATAAGGTAGTATATTTGGGATAAATTTAAAAGCACGTTTATTCACACCAATTTAATTTAACTTTTTTTTTCTCCTAAGCCGATGACAAGTCATAGTTTGGAGAAGCGGGATTACGTGATCAATGAGCTTGTGGAGACGGAGAAAAACTATGTGGACGTGTTGGTAACACTGCAGCGTAGCTTCATGCGGCCACTCAGTACCCTCCTCGAGGATCATGACTACAGGACGATCTTCATGTGGATAAAAGTGAGTTTGGGATTGATAGTGGTTTTTGTTTCACGCTGTGTGTTTTGAACATTAGGGCTGTAGGAAATACAGAATGTTTATGGTAAATAACTGTATTTATGAATTTCCAATCTGAAATGGAACACGTGAGTTTAGTGTTCGTCTAAGGCTAATATGCTACGCTTAGCTGATTTGAAACCAACTGCCTTCAATGTCTAGAGTCATGTTAGTCCTGATTATGAAGATTATTTGTTGGTAGGTTTTGGATTAATTTCTGAATGATGTAATGTAATGAATACACTCCACTCCCACTCACACACTCTCATGGCGGGATTTGGCCACACAAACAACAGAGCAGTTACTGCTCTCTATCTCTCTCTAGCTTCTGCCTCTTCCACTGCTGCCCCCACTTCTCTGACGTCCCTGGAGACACTATCCTATCCTATCTTCTTGGGCCTTCCTAATGGTTTTTTACCTTCTGGCTTTCCTAAACTTGCCTTTAATAGTGAACCCTGTTCTCTCCGTAGTATGTGTCCTGCAGTGAACGTCTTAAAGCTGCAGTGAAAGCAATTGGCCTAGGAGAAGAAGACTGTGATCTGATCACAAACTTTTCATCAACAACAATGTAATAAATGAACAACCTAAAACTTTTCTGTATTGCCTATCAAATTACAGCACAAATAATTATCAACAAAAGACAATTAATTGTCTTTTCTACTAATCTTTATTTAAAAAAAAAATTGGTTTTTCTTTTCCAAGTTCGACAAACTGAATCTGATGTACCGGTAATGATTTTGGCCCTACATTTTACATATTGTTTGTATGAATAAATTATGTCTTATTAACTAATTTGTTGATAGGAACTGAGCGAGATCCATTCCGGGTTCCACTCCCAGCTACGCAAGGTTGTTGCACCAGGCAGCTGCGCTAGACTGAGTGAAGTTTTCCTCAACTGGAGGGAGAAGTTCCTCGTCTACGGAGACTACTGTGCCAACCTACCCGATGCTCAGTCTCGGATAAGCGACCTCTGCGCTCACAGCGACTCGGTCAACCAGGAGGTCATTGTGAGTACAACATTGTCAACGTTAATTTACAGTGGATTGAGCATCAAACGGGTTTGATAAAAAATGAGTAGAACCTAGGTTTCAAGATTTTTGTTGAGATAGCAAGGCTAAAGGTAAGAGTTCAATACTGGCTCAAGGAGCACAAAAATTGTACACAATGCAGACAAATTTGGTTGTATGCCATCAATCTCACTGAAAAAGTAAGGTTTGTCTTGGAAAGAAAGAAAACAAGAAACCCTTAATCAATTGCAACATTTTTGTCATAAATAATTCAAAGTGACTATCGTGTTGGTGTAACATTTTATTTTGTCTAGTATGCTATGCCTACTTAATTAGTTTCTTCATATACGTCTACATATATTTTCTACACCACAAGAGATGTCTAAAAAGTAAAAACGGTTGGAAGGTAAATTTGATTGTGTGCACTTAAGTTATGTGAATATGCATTCAGTTTGTTTCACAAAAATTTAAATAGCCTAAAAAAGTTGCACAAAACTAAGTTCTAATCTACATTGGGGCTTTGCAACTTAGAGAGGCATCAAATTTGATTCTGAACTGATTCTTTACATACTGTCCTATAACATGGATACAATGGACATAGCCAAGTTTTAGGGGAAAGCTGCAACATATTTCTGTACTTTGTTACTTAATGTAGGTACTGTAATTAATCATTACTTCCCATAAAAGTAAAAATAAAGAGAGGTTTTTAATCAAACTTTTTTCTGATAGCTAATTACAAAAAATAAAAAAATAAAGAGAGGTTTTTAATCAAACTTTTTTCTGATAGCTAATTACTGATAGTTAGTTCATAGATAGTATTTATAAAAAAAACCATAAATTCATTATTTTTACAGAGGTGTCAACAAGAAGCAAATAATGGAAAATTTATGCTACGGGATATTTTGACAGTTCCGATGCAGCGGATACTGAAATACCCACTGTTATTGGAGAAACTAATATCCGAGACACAACCCGTGAGTACAGTAATTTACAATGTTTTAGAAGTAAACTTCAGTTAAACTTATTATATTGTGTAAATATTAGTAGATGCCCTTGTTTCATTATAATTACGTGATATCTTGTTGGTTTTTTTCTTTCACCACGAGCCATGATTTACAGTATTTCCTTACACATATATGTTTCATAATTAGTAAATTTCACCCTTGGGCTTGGTTCCAGTCTAGGTACTCTTCCTATAGGTGAGGTAAAAGTATTAAAATCACAAAATTTTGTTAACTATATTCTTATTCTGTAGGAAAAAAGTTAATTTCACCTTCCTTCCCAAAATAATAAAAGTAGCACTATACAAGGAACACTATTGTAGTTTTTTTGCGATATTTACAAACTCTTTTTCCACATTAAACAGTACTTTGGTAAACAGGGATTACCTGTTTGTTCAGAAAATAAGACAAACAGTGAGCCCTTTTCAAGCATTTACATGTGATGTGGATTAGCTGGTGAGATCCAGCTCACAATTTAGGAGAGGGGTAAATATTTTTATATCATACTACACAGAAACATGTACTTTTCCATACGTATTGATAGGCTGGAAAGTTGCCCTTTGCCATGCCAACACATGGAAAAGTAAGTAATGTACTTTTACCGTGCACTTAGTCAGCTGATGTAATAAAACAGCTAATTGCAACGGCCTATTTTATTTTCTGAAATATCTTATGTTATGTCTTAAATAAACTGTGTTATGAGTTTAAAATGTAACTTACCAATTTTTTCTATAGTATGATGTAAAGTATCGTACGTTACTCGCCCGTTAAGCTTTATTGTAGTTGTATGGTAGTGCTTGCATGGTAAAACACCACTTACTGGGCTTGTATACTATAATAAACCTAATCTTGCTGGGATTTTGACCTGTGTAAAGAACCTCTGTACTCTGTATAGAACCATGAAGACTACAGAGGTCTGGAGAGGGCCAAGGAAGCTATGAAGGATGTGGCTCAATACAGCAATGAGGTGAAAAGGGACAGTGAAACCCTGCACATCATGAAGAAAATACAGGCAAGTGGAACTAGAACACTGAGTGGCTAGGCTGTGTAAAATATGTGTAAATATGGAGGGTGTTTAGCAGACCAGGAGAAAATGTGAATTGTATGTCAATTGTTGTGTCCATTCACTAACGGTGTTCGGATGGTTCTCTTTTAACTCTAGAAATGACGGTTAAAAATAGCTAAAATTATGAACTTCCGCCAAGGAGCCGTTATTTCCTAGTTGACAGAAGAATAAAAACAAACAATCTAACTCACGGGTAAAACAGTGTTTCACCTTAGAATTAAATCCACGATACTAAAGTAAAACTTTGATATTCGACTTCCAGGGACTAATACGCCCTTGGCTAATGTTTTGCGATGATCACGAGTCCAGGGGCTTTTCCCCCTGGTCTAGCGTTAGAATATACTTGGTTACCCAGGGTTATATGACCCCGTGTTCGACTCCAAGGACTATTCCGCCCTGGGGTAATGTCAGGCTATTTTGCCTTACACTCCACTCTCATAGGTAGAGATGTTTGTAGCTGCTTGCCGGCACTTGACTGACTGTACCCTGTCTTGCACCGTATTTATATGGGGTCGCAAAGCTAGCGCAGTGTGTGGCCACTTGGAGAACTAATTATCTCACCACAGCGCGGGCTATTTGAGATTGTATTGCTTTCTTTATCCTTTAATATTTTTTCTATTACAACTTGATTCAACATTTAAAGTAAAGGTTTGATTGGAAAGGGCTTATTACCTGAGAATTAAGGAGACAACGTAGCTACAGGACAAGCAGGCTTACCTTAAAATTTGTAGGCATCCCACTTCACGATAAAAAAAAAAATCAATTTATGTTGAGAAAGGGGGGGGGGGGTTGTCGAAATATTGAATTTTCCTTTTTCTTTTGTGTTACTTTAGTAACACAAGTAGGGATGCCTATAATTTTTGAGGTAAGCCTGCTTATCCTGTCCGTTGTTTCCTTGATTTAAAGTAAAGTTAACTAGAGAAAAACTATTTTTATAGCAGGCTACATTATTCACGGACAATATTCATGGGCAATAACTTTGTACATTTCGTCAAAAAATATAATCAGTTGTCTCAACTGTCAATTTTTCTTTTGAAAGCATTCGGAAACGGTTATATGATAATGATTTGAAATTTACAGGAGAGTATATCAGACTGGGACATGCCTGAAAATACAGAGCTGAAGGATTACGGTAGGCTAATAAAGGACGGATGGTTGCGGATAAAAGCTCACAACGATCAAAAAGTCAAAGTCAGGTATGAAAATGAAATCTATTAGTATGATTTTTTTAAATTCATTTTTATAGCCCCAGGATTGCGTAATATGACAAATAATGGTTAAAACATACCTCGTCAGACAATCCTTAACATGTAGGTAGTGAAGTTGCTACATATGTTTCGGCGGCTATTTAAGCATCTCCGCCATCGTCCAAGGCAAACAAAAGGATCCACTTGATGTGTCGTCAGAATAAATAAAATACACATTTTACACAAAACATAAAAAACTATAGTGATAGGCCTATCAACTACACGCACTGCCGTGGACATGGCAGGAAGCAGACTGAATGTTATGTTGTGATGTGACTTGACTCTGGGCTGTCGTCTGCGTTATCAACAGCTGATACTGGTCTATTGTAGTGACGGAGGAGAGTATTGAAAATATAATGAGATTCATAGTTGAGTTTTTCATTCAAAATTTGTGTGCTGTCCTTGGTTTTTATTTCTTTGTATATTTCAAATTCTTCCAGAGTATTTAATAGATTTCCTTTCCCGCAGTAATGAAGGATATCAAGACCGTCATTTATATCTAGCATATCATGTTTATTGTCGATGATGTGTTGGGCGAATTTAGATTTTTGCAATTTTAGTTTAGGGGGCCGGTCGGTGTTCTTTATACCTGGTTTTAAAAGGCCTCCCACTTTGTCCTACATATGTGCTCGGGCAATCGGCGCATTTTATGCGATATACACCTGTCTTCTCATACTTATCACCTTGTGGGTGTTTACCTTTAGATATATTTCGTAGCCGATTGGAAGTTTTAAAAGCCAGTTTGACACCACGTTTACTCAGATCTTTTTTCAGGTAGTTATTTATTTGGTGGTTATATTCGACACAGCAATATGTTATTCTATTATTATCAATATTGGTTGGTTGGTGACATGTATTGTTCTTTTTCTTTATAATGATTTTGTCCACCATATCTGATTTGTATCCATTGGCCACGGCAATGTGCTTTATTATGTTCAGTTCCTTTGTGTAATTTTCTGGACTTAGTGGGACATTTAGAAGTCTGTAGATCATCGAGTTGTATGCGGCTAGTTTTTGAGAGTATGGGTGATAAGATGTGCTATGAATGGTCTGGTCTGATGTTGTGGGTTTACGGTAAATGCTATATTCAAATTTATTGTTATGTTTCTCAACAGTGAGGTCCAGAAAATTTATTTTGTTGTCTACTTCCTTTTCCACAGTAAACTTAAGATTCGGTGACATGGAATTTAAGTATTGGTGGAGTAAATCAAGTTGCCGGTTGCTGCCATCAAATATTACAAAAGTGTCATCTACATATCTAAAGTAATTCAGTATTCTATTTATATGTTTATTTTTATCTGAAAAGATGAGTTCATTTTCTATATTATTTAAGTAAATTTCTGACAGGATGCCCGAGAGAGGGGAGCCCATGGCAAGACCGTCGAGTTGTTTGTAATACTTTCCATTAAACGAGAAATAGTTTTGGCATAATACTTCTTTCAGGAGACAGATTATTTCCTCTATGGCTTCAGGTAGGAGACTTGAATTTTCCTGTAGGTTATTTGATACTAGCTCAACAGTTTTATCTATTGGAATATTGGTGTATAGGTTTGTAATATTAAATGATGCAAAAGTATGGCGGTGTTGTATACTGAGGTTTTTAGTTTTTTCAATAAAGTCGTATGTATTTTTTAGGCTGTGTAGTCGTTTTTTAGGACTGTTTGTTCCCTGAGAATCCTCTCTAAGCGTTTAGCAAGTTTATATGTTGGGGCGGTAGTATAATTGACTAGAGGCCTGATAGGGACATTCTCTTTGTGGATCTTAGGTAATCCACTCAATTTTGGAGCGGCAGGATTAATAGCTCTTAATTGCGAAATGTCTTTATCAGTAAACAAAACTTTACTTTGGTTCATTAGCTTCTTGATGCGCCTCTGATAAGCATTTGTAGGGTCCTTATTTAATGAGGAAATATTGTTACTGTTAATGAACTCTTCTACCTTATCTATATATTGAGCCTCATACATTACTATTGTTGTATTTCCTTTATCAGCTTTACACAAGATTGCATTATTGGCTTTAAGTTTATCATTTAGACTCCTTATTGCAAAGAGATCTTTCTTTTGGGACATATTTAGTTTTGGTGCGTGATTTTTATTTAATTTTTCACACATGTTAAATCTAACTACATTCCTATCCTCCTCTTTAGGAATCATCCTCTGAGGTCACTACAATAGACCAGTATCAGCTGTTGATAACGCAGACGACAGCCCAGAGTCAAGTCACATCACAACATAACATTCAGTCTGCTTCCTGCCATGTCCACGGCAGTGCGTGTAGTTGATAGGCCTATCACTATAGTTTTTTATGTTTTGTGTAAAATGTGTATTTTATTTATTCTGACGACACATCAAGTGGATCCTTTTGTTTGCCTGACGATGGCGGAGATGCTTAAATAGCCGTAGAAACATATGTAGCAACTTCACTACCTACATGTTAAGGATTGTCTGACGAGGTATGATTTTTTTGACAGAAATATGTTTTTTTAGTAATAATGTTATTTCATCACTTCACCCCTAGAGTGAAAAGTGATATACCTTTCTAAGTCTGAGCATCAAATTGGACTCCCCCCTTCTCATATACCTCCACAGTTTATATTTTTCATCCATCTGCCATCCCACTCCTCTTTCTCCCAATCACTTCACCTCATTCATTTCACCTCATTCATCTACATTTTCTCTATATAATCTATTGATCTACTGTATACTACCTAAAATTATGACACTAGTATGTTTTTTACTCTGTCAAGTTGAATTTTATTTTTTATGTTACTTGCTGTTATGAATTTTCCTTTTAGGGTACCCCTTATAATGTCTTTAAAATAAATGTACAGTAGAACCTTGCTAATCCGACATCAGATGGTCCAACTCCTCGCTTGGTCCGAGCGTGCCGCCGACATAATAGGTTTCCGCTAACATACGGTAACCTCATTGTCTAAGAAAAATACCTATAAAGTTTTATAAAATGTGTTTCTTTAGTCTAATGTGTTGAAACTTGTTTTTGAATATCACAGTTCATTTGACAAAAATAAATGGAAGTAGAACAAAGAAAGAAATGCCGAACAAAGCATCAAGGTCAAGCTATCCGTTTGCACTGACAATCGTCTGCTCCTTAGACCTATACATCTGTCTGCTGTGCGCTTAAAAATTGCTATGCACAACATTTTGTGATTGGGTATTTGGTAACCATGACAACTTTAGTAGCCTGTGATTGGGTGATTAGTAACCATGGCAACTTGTTAAATGGGTGGATGAAGAGAAACTCATTTATTTATTTATTTTATTTATTTATTTATACGGTAAACACCATTTTTACAGTCAATGATACATGAGATTCAAGTTACAAGATAAATACTTCTAAACATATATAAGCCAGATACAGATTCATCTTAATTGCTAGACAATAGTAACATGCATAAATATTTTCAGAAAAATAACAATACCAGTAACCAAATCTAGATAACAATTGATAAATATTTTAATATAATAACAGTAACGAGCAAAAATATAAATATATTTGACAGACAAGACAAAAAACCCATGACAATTATAATAACGGTGACGTAAACTGAGTGAAAAAATGTTAACATTGCAATAAATATTTGTGAAAGTGTAACAAACAAACAAGGCAGCAAAATCCAGACAGTGACCTCAGGACACATTCTCATCGACCACATAACAATAACAGCTTAAACTAGGATATTTTTAATAGCTTTTAGTTTGCAGGTGAACATATCAACATGTTGGCATGCTTGATTTCCAAGTCTGTGGAGCCGTGGAATTGTACTGTGGAAGGCGTAGTTTGTAGAAAAGGAAGCTTTGTTGAAGAGTTGAATATGCCTGAAGTGTCGAGGGACGTGGAAATTAATTAGGCGAAGTATTTCTCATGGAAGAATAGAAGAACAAAGAGAAAGAATAAGCGATGTTTTTTGTCATTGTTATCTTTATCGTATATTTTACACGATTTTATGATTGTTGTTATCATCTATATGTGGGCCACTATTATTTTATACTTTTTCATGGGTTATCTAATTTTATTATCGACATTCTTCTGTCCTGAAACAGCATAGCAGTGGCCTTTGACTAGCAGTAGCTTACTAGACGGTACTAGCAGTAGGCTTACTAGGCTTCTATTGTTCTGTTCTTTATTTTCCTGTACAACGTTTGGCAATTTGTTTGTTTGAGTAAAAGTTTGAGAAAGCTGTGATTTTTAACGTTACAGTTTTTATTACTGGACCAAGGTTAATGACCTAACAGAACTATAATGATTGTGCAATAGCCTACTTATTGTATTTTGATGATGTAATATGCAAATTATCACATGAAAGTCCATTTATACAATATTAGGCATTGTTTATGAGTTAGAAATGACTGTTTTAGGTTATATTGGATTAAGCGTGGTGTTCAGTTATCCGAGGTCTGTTCAAAATACAGTTATACTACGTTTTTTTGTCAATAAACGCGTTCCTCTGATAATCAGACCTTTTTGCTGTTCTGACCATGCTCCTGGTCCCGTAGGTGACGGATTAGCGAGGTTCTACTGTATTAGTAAAATGTTTATGGCCTATGAAAATTAATATTTAACTTAATCAAACTTACTTTGCTACAAAACTCAAGCAGTCTCTTTCTGTTTCAGATATGTTTTTATTTTCGACCAAGTCATGCTGATGTGCAAGGCTTTAAAGGTAAGCAAATCTATTCCGCTACCCAATTAATTTCTTACAAGTGTGTGACAAGTAATTGATCCTATGATTTATGCTTAGAGTAAGATAAATCTTTATTAGTTGTCCGTATGAGGTATGGACATACAAGAATTAACCATTTACTGGAATACTCATCTTGTACAGAATAAGAAAAGTCTGGGGACCATATTTTAACCTTTGAAGGGACAATATCGGGTAAATCAAACTTAGTACTTAGTAACATAAATTAAATTGCCTTCTTGAGTGAAATAGTAACTTAGTATACCTATCGCCCAATACAGAGCAGTATTTTACGGGATGTCCAAAAGTTCTAGATGTGAACCCACATTAAGTGTTACCATATAATAGTGTAACCTAAGTGATATCATGTTCTAGGAATTTCATGAAAGAAGAACAGTGTTGGATAGTTTTTTTTTCTTATTGACACAAACACAATGTCAGCTATTTTGAATTATGGTACATAATCATGACCATTTGTATAAGAAAAGTGTGTACACAAACAAGTGAATTATGAAAGGCCCTCCGATTCTTATTTTGTTTCCAACCCAAGGTTTCCAACTTCCTCGAACTTCCATTTTAAAATACAAATCCTTTATACAAAATACAGGTTTCTTTAAAATACAAAACCTTTATACAAAAACCAGGTTTCTTTAAAATACAAATCCCCATTGATTTGCTCCTCTTTTAAAATGTGTTATAAAAGAAAAATCAGTGAAGACGACGGATCTCTACTTCTATATTTCAGACATTTACATTACTGACAGTTCATATTTTCATTTAACTCTGAAACCGTTTGAAATTTAGTATCTAGAGCTGTCATTTAATACTGCATTAAAATATGTGTGTCCTGCGGTTGTATTTAATGTTATTTGAGAGACTATTTTATACTTTTCCAATTACGGTAAGTGAAAGACAAGTTTTCATGATGGTTTGTTATTTTCCAGAAGCTTTTACCTTACCTTGTAATGTTTTAGGCATTTTAAAAAACTTAGTTTTTAATTTGAATCACAATGTAATATTTCTACAATAATCCCTCAATCAACATAAACTCTCCAAATCCCAACTGAACTATTTAACTACAACAATTTCTTTGAGTTATCCTTCATATAAGTTTATATTTAGTACTAGTTCATTAGGGTTCATTAACAGTCAAACGAGTGACAGCCAATAAACAGTCAAGAGTTCATTATGTCTTGACCGTTTCATTTAGTAATCACTGTTTTATATTGTGTTACAGGGAGACCAGTACAGCTACAAAGAGTCTCTGCTGTTGTGTCAATACAAGGTGGAGGATGTGAGCGCTCGACGGACACTACAGCGCGACTCTCGCTGGAACTACCAGTGGTACTTGGTGCGCAAGAGTGAGCGCACTGCGTACACCATGTACGCGCGGCTCGAGGAGGAGAAGCGGCTTTGGATAAAAGCCATACAGGACGCACTGTGAGTACTACGTGTTTTTATACGTACTGGAGTTGAAATCCCATGTTAACAAGCTGTTTATCTGAGCACACCAGATTACAGAAAATATAATCTTTCTATTTCACAAATGCGTCTTTGAATGTAAATAATTTGAAAAAGAGACTTGATTGTGCTTTGCTCTTGTGAAATGGATTCATTTTTAAATTTCCAACTGTGATATCTTGGTTTAATATAGGCCTACTTGTATTCATATTTTGGGAAAGTTATTCTTTGTAATCCATGAATTTTATTGACATGTCACATATTCATTGCTAAACCTCGACCATTGTATTATGAATTTCTGTGATAAATCAATTGAATTTGTAGCTTTAATTGTTTAAGTAATTTTTGTAGGGATGCTCTACAAAGCTAGATTTTAATTTGTCTAAACCGCTGAGCTTTGCGTGGTTGAAATGAAACCATTATCATTTTTCAGAGACAACATTGAGCCGTCAGTCTGTCGCAATACTGATCACAAGTTTCTGATGTACACATTCGAGAAACCTTCCACATGTAGTCATTGTAGCAAACTGCTTAAAGGCAGAATATTCCAGGTTAGTGATGTAACATGCACTTATAATGCATTGCTCCTATAATCAATTGAACCAATGGTAATCATTTGGCCAAAATGTAAAACCCTTCAAGCTTCAAATATTTTCAAAATCTTATATACAACTTATATCCAGTTAACCTAGTGGATAGCATCTCGGACTTCGATACGAGAGAGACAGGCTCGATTCCTGTCATTTGCATAAAACATTTAATGGGTTTGGACTGCCCCTTTTGCTAACAAATTATCATTGAACATGAACACACATTCACATTAGTAACAATAAAGAAAAAGTAGGAAATGCTTGATTTAGAGGTATATTAAATCTTCACCGACTTATGAGGGCTCCTTGGGGCTTTTGCAACAGAAAGTTATTTATTTTGTGAAATTAGCTTCAATGTAAGCAGTGTGAATATAATATACGTGAAAATGTTAATTTAATTGAAGCAGTATCCTGAGATGGGCTGAATTCAAATTAATTTTGAAACAATTTAAAGGCTACAATCAAGGATTTGACAATGGCAATGGTATCTCACAAATATTTTACCCATCCTGTAAATTTTTACCTGAGCAGTCCACCGCTATTTTAGGTGAGTCTCTATTTTATAAAGTTCTGTAAGGTTTATAAATATTCTTTTTAAATCAATCAAAGCTTTTTTTTTACCATTGTACTTACCTTACCTAACCTATTGTCGCAATGTCTACAGGGTTACAGATGTGATAGGTGCTTCATCGGAGTACACAAGACTTGTATCCCATACTCGGGCCGCTGCGGGGCTAAACTTCCTCCCGAGCTACCCCCTCGCCCCCCGCTGGCTACCACCCCCACCGAACTTGTACCTAGTCAGGTCAGAAAACACCCAAGTTACTGTCATAATTCATAAAGAGATGTAAAATATCCATGTAATTTTTTTTGGAATTGGTAAATACAATTTTTGAATTTTGGAAAAAGTTATATTTTAAAATGAAGCTAAGTGGCTAATTAGGATTTTATTTAGAATCTTAGAGCTTACCTGAGACAATTGGGATTCAGGGGCTCTTGGGTACACATTGAAGATTAACTAACATTACTTTTGTCACAGCCTGTACAGCCAGTACCTCCCATGCCTACAGACTGGACTGAGAGAGGCAGATCGTGGACGGACCACCAGTCATTACGAGAATACCTTTGGTATGTGTCGCTTATTTTGATAGAGATATTACACTTCTAATAAAATTAAAATTATACATCTACATAGTAGTTTTCATCTATTGATTTACAAAGTGGCATTTCTTCTCCAAGTTGTTCAAACATGTTTCTGCCAAAATACAAGACAAGGGTGAATCCATAGCCAGTTATTTTTTTCAAATTACTAGCTAATAAAACTCCCTGAAATAGACGTAAAATAAAATTACTTTCAATTCAAAGATGAGATACTTTTACAAAGTCGTATGACCATGGCTAACTTCTATTAACCAAAACCCTTTTATTTAACCGATTAACCAATATGGCCAAAAAGTCATTTTAGCTACAGTAGCATTGAAGCTGATGTGAAAAAAAGTTAAGCTTGGCGGGAGCAAGCCAAAGAGCGGTAGTGGCAGGTAGCCTATGGTCTTTGGCCTTGGGCTCAGGTGATAATACGCTACCCCACCTCGCCTCCACTGCTAAACCTGTGTTAGTGTGATTCCGTCTGTTGTTGTCAGGTTCGTAGGAGAGATGGGCCGAGACAGAGCCACCAGTCTGCTCGAGAGACAAATGGACGGGACCTATCTGCTGAGGATTCGACCTCAGGGGCCGACACATCCCAATGAAACTGTTTACGCTCTCAGTCTCAAGTTAGTGGAGTTACTATCAGCTGTTATAATTTCAATTTAGCAATATTATGCAGTTTAGTTTAGTGGAATATTTCACAATGTCATAGAAAGGATCCATCTGGTATTCAATGAAGTAAAAGCTAGACTTTAGTATGGGTTTTGTTTTTGGATAACCTTTGAACCAGAGAGAGTCCATTCTGGCACAAAAACACAGGAAATATTACTCTAGGGCCTTTACCCAAAATTAAAATATTAAATTTATACTTGTTAATAATTCATGGTAACTTGGGATTTTACTGATCATGATGCAAAATATCTGCTATAATCCAGATTAAATTAACATAAACTTATGATCACCATAAATGAGTTTTATAGGCATGTATGTACGTAATCTCTCTGTGCAGGACGGATGACAAGGTTAAGCACATGAAGGTGTACGAGAGAGACATGGAAGGGTCACAACACTACTACCTCTCAGAGTCCAGGTTCTTCCGCACTCTGGTGGAGTTGATATCTTGCTACGAACACACCAGCCTGGGCGAGAACTTTATAGGGTACATGTCTCACATAATTTTACTCACACTTTTTTTATATCAAGTTACCTATTAATTACTTAACATTATTTACAGCTAAGAAAAAAAGGAACTCACCAGTCCCCATTTCAATAACAAATAAATTTGAAAAATAATTTAATAAAGCGTGATTGCGTAACAATTGTTCAAATATGCTATAGTGTACTTCTAATAATCATGAAATACGTAATTTGTTAGTACTTTAAAGTACAATTACTTTTTAGTATTCAAAGTAATAAAAACACTGATTACTGTTCTAAATATTCCAATATGGTCCCCCAGATTCCCCCTACCACTGGACAATTTTTCAGACCTCCACGTTTTGAATTGATATACGTTTATTTGGATTTCCATTTCTGACAGCATTTTTTGCTGGTGTAAACAGTTGTTAGTCGTATCATATTAAACTTCTAACTTACCTGCAGTCGTATAAAATATTACGTGTTTATTGTCATTTTATCTTTCAATTCCCACAACCATAAGCACTGTTGATTGCATGTATTTATGCAAAACAGTAGTGTACTTTTGACAAAATACCTTTTTTGGAAAAACATTTAGATACAAAATATAGTTATTAGTGTGAAAACTTGTTATTTAGTTTTCTGTCAAACAAAGCTTGATAAAATACCTTGAAATAAACATAATTTTTCTATATTTCATGATTTAGGAAAGCGGTAATGTTATTCTGCTATGTGTTTCAGACTGAATGTTCGGCTAAAGTGGCCGTTCCGCAGGATAGTGGCAGTGGCAGACTTTGACTTCAACCCCACAGAGGGGCCTGAGGGAGCCAACCAGCTGCCACTGAGGAAGGGCTGCCAAGTCATAGTGCTCAGCAAGGAGGGTGACCACAAGGGCTGGTGGAAGGGCAAGATCCAGGACAAGGTAATCACAGCTGAGGATAAGGCTTATTGTAAAAAATGTCCCACAATTAGGTTTAAATGTTAGGCCTACCTACTTGCCTATTTTATGCAACAAGAACTTTGAGACGCTTCACTATTTAGGGTAAAAATATTCTGTGAAATTTTAAGCTACTTTTCATCTGTACAAACAAAATGAAGTTATATTGAAAAAAATTAAGTTGCTCTTTTAAGAAAATGAGCGAGGGTTTAAAAAACACTGTTTGCCTGTGTTATGATCAGTATTTTTTTTCACACTAGCAGCCAGTGTTACTTCTTGACTTCAAAGTCCGTGATATATTTGATTGAATTTACATTTTTCTATTGTAAATCCCATCAAAACACAAAATCTAACACAAATAATTTTTTTTCTTTAGACTACATTTTATACAAATAACATTACAACATTCTACTTGAATTCGCTAAAACATCACCAACTGTAATAATAACCCCCATTTTTTTTTTTTTTTTTTATAAAAAGAGGTTGGCGGCCTCTTTTAACCTTGCATTTGCCCGTCCACATAGACTAAGCGCCTGTGCGTGGAACGTTTACAGCAAAGCAAGGAGTGAGCCGGTACAGTACAAAGGTGAACTGTACTGATAAATTTTAGTGGCAGTGACCAGGATCCGAACCCACGACATCGCTGCCTTGGGCCCGAAGTCCGCGACGCTACCGACTGAGCCACCGACTCGCATAAAAATTTTCGTATGGATTTAAACAAAAGTGTATCATGGCCATCTGTTTTGATGTACACAAATGTAAACTTGATAAAGTTCAGATGATTGAATACAGAATTCAGTACAAACTCTGAAATTTTAAAAGCCTACAGGGCAAAGGGCTTCACGGGATATCACCCAAACTCGCAAAAGGCACATCTAGAGGATCAATATGACTTTGAAAATAAATATTTAGGGTAGGGATGGACGGGATTGAAATTTTAGTTCGGGACGGGACGGGATTTTTATTTCCTTCCCGATTTTCGGGACGGGGTTTTTTCCTGTGCATAGAAAGAAAGTCTTGAGTATTGCAGTTACCAAAAAAGACAAACAAAATCAAGTTTTACCGTTTGTGACACTATAAAAACCAAAAAAAGGTTTGGTTACAACAATTTACAGGTACCTATAGAAACTTATCAGTTATCCCTTATCAGTTCAGTAAACAATACCTAAAAGTCAAAATAATTAATATACAAGTACACCAAACAATATTTAGCGTACAGACATCAATAACTGCAACTCCATTCACTCGACTACCTGTTACATAGCATTAACTCTGTAGCTGTCTCATAGTTTAGTTGTAAATAGTATTTTGATTAATTTAGTTTTAATTTGTAGATTATTTTAAATTTTTAATAAAGCTCGTCCCGCGCACAGGTCTTGACTATTGTTTCGTATTTTGTATGCATATAATGTAAACAATTTTTAAAATTATCGTTATGACTCAGTGGTCACGGGATGATCGTCGGTATGACTCCGCAGTCACGGCGTTGATCATCGTTATGACTCCGTGGGCTTGGGATGATCGTCGGTATGACTCCGCGGTCACGGCGTGATCGTCGTTATGACGTTCGCAGAACATCTCTCGCGATGGCGGTTTTATCGTCACTCTCGAAGTGGCAAAATCGCCGACGATCGGTCCAAATCCCGTCCCGAAATTTCCCGAATCAAATGTAATCCCGTCCCGAAAATCAGGAATTCCTGAAAATTTTGTGAAATTTCGGGACCTGTCCATCTCTTTAGGGGTTGATTAGCTGAATACAAATATCCAACAAATTCTTTTAATAATATATAGATTTGCACCATTGTTTAAGGCAAACTAAGTTAGTAAACAAAAAGTTTGGAGTCCAGTTTGGACTCTTTCCCATTCAGGTAAGCCTGCTATCCTCTCAAAAAATCCTAAAAAATCTAGGCCCTTGTGCTCTATGCTACACCCTTAGTAAACAAAAATATGTTTCTTGTAGAGACCTTTCAAAATGACTTCCTACTCCTTTTCAATTTTGCTAATACAAACAAACAGATGTTTGGTAAGTGATGCAATCATTTTAGTCTATTATGATTGTGTTAGTGTACATTATACACATCTATACTATTAGAAAATTGACGTGGTGTCTGTTTGTCTGTGCGGTTGCCACGACAAAAACACTAAACCGATACAGCCATAATTAAACACACCAATAGTCCACATATCTAGGGATGTCATAGGCCTATTCACTTCCCTGAGTTTCTCTTGGGCTGCACCTCTTGGACGTCCAAAGTTTTGGGGTGAGGTTTTCAAAAGTAAATGTTAATTGGTCTCCATAGGAGCATGAGAAAATTCACAAGCTTTGTTTACCTATGTGTTGAGATTTCAATGTAAATAGGGGTGGACGGATCCCGAAATATCGGGAAATTTTCAAAGTATCAGAACAAATCAGTACAATTTATAAGCAAAACTTGGAAATTTACAACAAAAACCCTGTTTTATTTAATGTTTACTGAAAATACCCAGACTTTACTTTGTTATATATATGTTACTGTCTTATTATTCCAAATTAGCCTGATTAATATTCTACAACAGGTAATGGAATGGCAAACAAAAAAGTCTTAAACATATTGATCTAGCACTCAATTTGCTTTTCAATATCTTATCTTTCACTTTTGTAATTTAAACAATGTTTTACCCTACAATAGTATTACTGTGTTGCAGGTGGGTTTCTTTCCCAAAGTGTATGTCCGGGAGATTTCCAACAACTTCAATGTGGATCTGAACTGAACCATCTCTGTCTACCGCTTACCAGTTTACGTATAGTCTGTGATAAGTAGCCAAGTTATATTATATTTTCTCCTTAAACAATTACAACGCATATATTTTTATTATTTTTTGTGAACGCATTGTTATGTGAATGTCCTGAAATGTTCTATAATGTAATGTTAGTATTAATAGAAGACTTATTTTAGACATTTTTATTGATATGGTGTTATCAATGTTGAAATTTTACTCTTAACGATGTTAAGCTTGTTATTGTATCGCAATATAATGTACAATTAATGCAATGCTCATAGAAATGTATATTTGAATAATTTGCTTATACACGAAATGTTTTTGAGATATAAATATGTTGATATCTAACTGTTGTATTTTTTTAACCACCTCTTTGACTTTGGTGTCAACGAACCTAAATGATAATTGAAATTAACATACATACATGTGGTATAAAATATATGTAAATAAACTAAGGTTAAATTACACAGCGTACTAATGTACATTTTCTTTTGTAGTTGATGGAAGATAATAAAAAGGCCAAAGTTTCTACAAAACTGTTTTATACACAAAACATAACAAATGTTCTACTTTTTACATGAATTAAATTACATAATATTGTACAAATTTACAATTGAATGAATGAGATACTATGTTACTTTATGGCACTCTAGATTTCCTTGGATAGAATTCATTTTCTGATTCCAGTTCGTTTTCAGAGAGGGACAACGAACCTCCGGTTCTTCTTCTCATCAAAGGATTTGGCTGGAAAATATATTTCATTAAATTCAAATATAATATTACATAAGTACCTACATAATTTTTAAGACACTAAGCAATGAGCATAAACTACCAGTATTTGGATTCTATGGTAGACATTCCATCTATAGCCAAGAGCTATAACTAGGTTTCACTCAAAATACCATATTTTAATGAGCCTCTTGCAGTGTGCTAGGATAAAAAAGTTATTGTCTTTATAAGTTTTTCATACTATACAAGTTGATAGTAATATTGAAGATAATATAGTTTACAAGAATTTATCCTACAAGTTTGGCATGATCAATTTGAGGAATAAGAAAGAAGGCAGTATTTTACAAGCAAGCTGTGGGTGGACCAATTGAGTCTTACAACTTCAAAATAGGAAAACCTTTCCAAATTATCAATACAAAACATGCAATGGGCCTACTATAAAATGGCTTCTATTTTATACACTTAATCAGAAAATAAACTTTGGTGACAAAATAAATTTTGGTGAGATTATCCTAAAGCTTTTGGTAAATGAATGAATTCATCCTTTATCTCAGAGATATGTTTCCAGGACATTTCCAAAGTAATACCATTCATTCCCATAATAAGCTACATTTTTTATTAAGAAACACTCACATCAAGAATGGTTCCTGAAGGCTCGGATGCATAACCGACCTCCTGTGTGTCCTCTTCATCTGCTTCATAATCCTCATCCGACGATTCACTCTCTGCACAAAATAAGAAGAGCTAATAGTAGACTTATATATTTTACAACCCAACTTATGATCGCTGATAAATTGCAGTAATTCTAAGACATGCAGGTCCACAGTTTGTTTCTCACTGTTTCCATAAAGAAAGCCCAAAATAAGACACAGGATGTTGAACTATATAAAAGGTTTCTGGTTTGGTAGACTGTGTTGGATAAAAAATTCCAAGCTTACCCAATTCTGTGGTTTAAAAAATATGTCCACAATGAAAGTAAAACTGAATTTCTTTCCAACTAATATAAAATAACTTTGCTCTTAAAATGTCTAAAACTAATTAGTTATTTTAGCTGATCTGTTTAAATAACATAACATTTTATTTGGAAAATTTCTTATTGGTCCTATAGTTACACAAAATTGTGTGTGTGTGTTTTTTTTTTTAATAAACAGAAGAGTTCTTACAGAGTTAATTGTGTGGGAATTCATTTACTCTTCATGTTTGCTCTGACGGAGTGAAATAATTTTCTCACATTAGTTCATCTAGACGAAAAAACCATTTTGCAAGGCATGAATCTTACCGGGATTCCTTGCAATTCTTCATGACACACCCGCAGCTAACTTGTAAAATAAATCAACATACTTTAGTCAAATCATCTTACCGCCAAAGTAGGTTTTCCGCTGCACTTTGCACACCATCTGAGCCAGGTCTGTGAACGTGTAAGTGTTTGACTCCTTGGAGGCGAGTTTCCTCTCCCCCTTGACATTGAGAACGTCGGGGGACTTGAGGTAAGGCAGAGATGAGTGGCCCCCGCCCTTCATCATCCCGGCGAAGAACGTTTTCCCGTGGTTGTAGCCTACGTCCTGCAAAATCAGTTGTGTTCTCAGAATAATTTGGATGTGAGTGCAGTATTTTGTCCCACTTTCAATACTAGGACATTATGATCTAGTCCGGGACCATTTTGCACATTTCTTCAGGCTAGGCTTAAACAGTTGTGGCTTTATCACATTGCTAGTCATTGGTGATTGGTGAGGTTTGAACCTGGTACCTTGGGGCCCTAAGCCCCATGCTACCACTAGACCAACTTGCTTGCTCCCCAAGCACTTTAGGTTCAATTTACAGAGTACAATAAAACCCATTTCAACCACATCCCATTAAACCAAAACCCTGGTTAGCAGGAAACTATTGTAAAATATCAAATCAACTGGAAAAGTTCGCTAGGCTTAGGAACATTTTTATTCATGTCTCAATTAGTAGGCCAAGGAATGTAATGAAGCAGACGACGACACAGATCTCATCTCGTGATAAAAATGGCATGAAAAAAATTATTGTCGAATATTTGTAAGAAATCATTTTGTCTGTATAGATAGATGGCAATAATTAAAATATTGTAAATATGAGAGTTGTATCTCTCTTCACATTAAAGAAGTCTTAAATTTCCAAACATTGTTTAACAGAAAATTAGATTAATAGAACCTTTTTCAGTTTGAATGATTGGGGGTGTACTGTACAATTGATCCAGTAAGCTACAGCAGGGTCAGGTTAGGATAGTTACATGTAGAAACTGGCATAAGTATGTTAAGAAATATTGTAAATATTTGTTCTGTGTGTCTGATAGAGATCGTGTTTGTAAACAGCAAGCATAAACAATGATTTGTATCATGAAAGCTTTTTTTTTAATGGCTGTTAACAAGGTTAGTTGGTAAATTGAATATAAAAAGGGGAAATTGGAACTTGATCTGGTCTTCTGTTTTCGGGTTTAGTAGTAGTGAGAGTATCTTTTTCTGAGGATCACTCTCAGGAATTTAAAGGTAAAAGATTTGTAGTTATTAGAATAAAAAGTATTTTAGGTTTCTAGTTTTAATATTTATCTACTTTCACTAATATTGAAATGATCAGAACAGGTTATAAAATAGACAATAGACAAAATCTTTATTGAAATATTCCTAGAGAGCATTCATGCGTCAGGTACATAAAATGTACAGTATTTACATAAACTATTACAGTCATTATTTGCAATTAGAATTAGAATTTTTTTTTTCATGGTGGCTTATTGTTTAAGAATTCATCCTCAGAGTAGAACGGCCGGTCCATAAGCCAGGTTGTCAGGTGCTTCTTAAACAGATTGGGTTGTTCTCTCTTAAGGTGCTCTGGTAGGTTGTTAAAAGTACAGAGCACCTTTGTAGGATGGTTTCTTCTCGTACAGACTCAGATGGTGTTGTGGGAGGGAAAAATTGGCGGCATGTCGTGTGTTGTGCTGGTGTATGTCTCTGTGTCTTGGCTGGGCTGTTTTAGTGGTGTGGATAATGACTTCTCTTTTGTAGAGTGAAATTGATGTGAGAATTTTAAGGTTCTTGAAGGCTTCTCGGCAACTGTCTCTATAGTTTAGGTCGGCAAGGCATCTAACTGCTCTTTTTTGCTTCAGGAGTACTCTTTCCAGGTTGCCTTTTGATGTTCCACCCCAAGTCGCAATGCCATATCTGAGGTGGGACTTGAATAGAGCAAAATATGCAACTTTGGCTACTTCTGGACTGCAAGCTTGCTTGATCCTACGCACAAATTCCACAAGTTGTTCCACAAGTTCCACAAGTTGTTTCCGGTTACTAATGTAGCTTTTAAACCATTCTGCTGTTCTTCCTCTCACACCTAGTGTTTCTAGCTTGAGTAGAAGAAGTTCGTGGTTTAGGCAGTCGAAAGCTTTACTAAAATAAAAATCTAGGAAGAGGCTTGTTGAAGTGTTGCCTTCTTCTAGCTGGTCTAGTATGTGCTCCGTCAGTTGTATTAAGGCTGTGGCTGTCGATCTGCCTTTGATAAATCCATGCTGTTGACTATTGAGAAGGTTGTGTTCGTGAAGATGGTGTAGGAGTTGGGCTAGTACTATCTTTTCGATTATTTTTGTAAACGTTGATATTAGGGAGATTGGCCTGTAGCTGTTTCTTTCTATCTTTGGTCCATTTTTGTATTTTGGGTAGACTTTAGCTATTTTTAATTTATCTGGGAATTTTCCTTGTGAGAGTGGTTATTTATGAGTACTGTCAGGGGTATTACTATTTCATTTTTACAGTTTTTTTTTAAGTTTAGCTGATACCTCATCAGTTCCGGATGAATTTTTCATCTTTAGAGATTGAATGGCCTTTTGCACTTCTTCTTGTGTGACCCGTCTGAACTGGAGTGTGTGATGTGTTGCTGGTAAGTGGTCTGTTAAGGCATTGGTTCTAGAGTTATTGTTATTTTGGTGTGTTCGGTCGGCTATTGATGAGAAAAAATCATTAAAACAGTTTGAAACTTCTATTGGGTCGTCTATTGTTTTATTGTTGATTTGAAGATGGATTTGGTTTTCAGTATTTGATCTCGCTTCCCTTTCTCGGTTTATTGTTTGCCACAGTGCTTTAGACTTGTTTTCAGCCTGATTTATGTGAGCTGTGTTGTTTTCTTTCCGAAGCATTTTCAAATGCTGGTCGTACTCCTTTTTTTTAATAGTTGTTCTGGCTTTGTCTTCCGTAAGTCCGGTTGTTTGCTCCTTTTCTAAGGCCTTTATATATTCATTACTAACATGGTTTTTTTCATGGATTACTTCATACTAGACTTTTTAAATTGATTTAGTCACAATCATTGACTATAATACGTCAAAACTCAACAGCATACAAGACATTTCTTCCATTTTTAACATTTGTAAGAGGTATTTAGGTACATAAAAAAAATAGTTACCTTTATTTCATCGAAAGCACCAAACTGCAGAGTTGTGTACTTGTCAATCGGTGGACGAATGTACTCACAGTAGTCACTGTTCTTAACCTCCTATAAAATTGAAACAAAATATTAGGCTAATATAAAGTGTAACCAAAAATTATGAATAACTATGTTAACAATAATAGACAAACAAAAAAAAGGGGTGTTTCTACTACTTGATAATATATTAACACTTATATTTACCATTGAGAATAGATGGAAAAGGTTATTTATGGTTTAATAGTTGTTATGTTATAATTGTCGTGCAATAGCGGAGACAATATAGAGGATTTATTGCAATTACTTGGTTCAAGATTTTGACAGAGTGCAAGATTATCCTAGTTGTAAGAATAAATTACGATTCCCAACATGTGAGTTTCCCAGTACTCAGGATCTCTTTGCTTTGTCCATACTAGCCTACCAAGCATGGTTTCATTTATTAAAGTTGTACCTGATGGTTTCAGAGATAAGATGGATGTTAAAATCCAACTGAGCCATCTCATACGAGTGCTACTATAAGGAGGTGTGACACTAGGCTCGCTGGTAAGATTTAACTAACTGAGTGTCAGTGAGTTAGGTGGGCCCGAGGATGGTGGGGGTAGGCTTGTTGGAAAGCCCACACGCTACCATTGTCAGTATTCATGGAGCAGCAGTCACCTGAGCAACGTGCGTATGTTATCGTGTAGTATTTTACAAGTAATGATTCAGTGTAGTATTTTACAAGTAATGATTCAGTCATTGCAACTCAGCGGCATTTCCATGCACTCTTTAAATCAGGTTGACATGGAGAAGTTCAGTCGTGTAGCACAATTATATGGTGGGTTACTGACTTTATAACAATAGATTTTGCATTGAAAAAGAAGCCGACAATGGTAGCCCATCAATCAAGAAAGCCATAAATTGTGTATGTAAAAAGTAATTTCAGAACAGTTGAGTATTGTTTTTAACAAATTCTCTTTGGGTTTGATTTTTTCAAGGGCAAGATTTTTCTAGGATCACACTTTACTTCACCATTACAAGAGATGCATGTAATTATTTCACAATCGTAGGAGATGATGATGAAGTCATCGCAATCCAAGGAAATTCTTTCAAATTTGTCACAATTAATAAATTGTTTTTTGCTCAATTCAACCACGCTAATTTCAATTCTAAAATTAACTACAACAATGGAAATTCGATGACTACTTCTGTCAAAGGCAGTATGTTCTTCTTATTATATTGATACAGTAATCCTCTACTGACCAAGACAATGTGACAGTTCCACCCACCTCCAGCTGTCGTACGCAGGACACGTAGGCCAGCCGGGACTGTATGTCAGGCAAGTTAGGCACTTTGACAGGAGAGGTGAAGGGGAGCCTCTTGAGCAGCAGCCACCAGCCACTCAGGTCGTCTCCGTAGTTGGTCAGATCTGTGTCGTCCTGTGAGCCGACGTCGATGGCCAGGATGTACTTGGCACCTCTCCGCTTCATTACATCAGCTACACCATCACAAGACAAAAACAATGTTTGAGGGGATGAAAACACTCTTTAAGTTGAAGAATTGAGATTTTTAAATTCCCCCTTAGTCGACTTAGGCAAATTTACAAAATGACTGATGGATTAAAGTGGTAATTTTTTAACTACATTGTAAAAAACCAAACAAGTTTTATTCAAGGAGAAAATGTTTGAGAAATTTAAATAGCCTATGTATCTCTCTTTTGAGAGTCTTATGGCCTTAACATAGCATGTCTATACAAGCATTACCCCCACCGCAGCAAACCTGCAGACTAAGCAAATTTAAATTTATATGATTGGATTTTTACTATAATATTTCCATTACAAGACATATCTATTCCCCATTTTAATAACAATAGATTTAATGAGTAGTTAGGTTTGCTGCAACGGGGAGGTTTGAAAGTGTTATCTTGATCAAATAGTAATAGTACAGGATAAACAAGCAAACTGCAACAGATTGCTTTCCCTCCATAATAACACAGGCATTTTTAATGTACGGTTAAAAAGTTTTCTCTGTAATCTTTATTTTTTCAACAACACTTTAATATACAATTTTTTTAAAGCTATACAAGATGGTCTTGATACAAATTGGGTATTTCCATGTTTTTTTTGCCAATTTTTGAAAATTTAAAAACCCCAAAGTTTGACCTGACCCTTTCTTGCTGGTTTGCAAACTCATTCAAGTTGTTGATTCCCCCTTACACCTTCAAGCCAAATTTAATCAAAATTGGACCAAAATTACTCGAGTTATCCTATTCACACTATTCCCTAAAACATTTATATACAGTAGAGTCCCGTTAGTCCGAAATGGTTGGGACCGGACCCATTTCGGATTACCGAATATTTCAGATTAAAAGTTTTTGAAATTTTTTAGTTTAATTTTTGTAATTAAAATTTTTTTTTTCTTAGGACGCTAGGCACGAGCCCGGGATTGTTTTTCACATTACTTAAGGCTAGACCTAGTGGCTGTAGCATTATCACTTAATAAAATCCGTTTGTGATTTGGCACCCGGGAAAATGAAAAATGTTAATAACAAAAATGGTGAAATATTTACTAAAATACTCTACAAAAAAGTCTATCTCGCCCGGCTGCTACAGAATACTTTGACGAGGTACAGCTAACTGTGTTGAAAGTTTAATAACATTTTTTTTATATATTTTTTTGTTTCGGATTAAGCGGACTTTTGGATTACCGAAGTTCAGATTATCGGGACTCCACTGTACTTTTGAAAATTCAGAAAATTATCAATTCATAAAGAACTCACTAAAACACATTTCTAATACAAAATTACCATGGTCATATCAATTTTACTAACACTGATGTATTCTGGAAGCTGGGCATCTTGAGTTTGAAAATAGGAGAACAATTGTATCAAATGAACAGCTATCGTACAAACTGATACTTCTTTAAGTAACGATTCCATGCTCACACTTAATAAAATACCATAGTTTTTACGGTAAACCAAGTCGTATCTCTAAAGTGATGTGTCATCTTCAGAGCAGTAACTGAACACTACCAATAATCTTTATATTACCAAATTTAACCAATTTTATATTACCAATAATCTGGATACACTCAAACTTATGCCAACTTAGGCCTATATTGGTGAAGGTTGAATATAGAACGTAGGGAGATACTGAACTTATTCACTATTTTGAGTATGTAACCAGCATCCTTATGATAACCAAGTAAAATTTTTTTTAGATAATACAGTACACTACTACTGGTAGTGACAATAGTGTTCTGTTTTTGCTCAGACGATGGCCATCTGTAACATTGTAGAATCGTCAGTGTATTTTTTTTGTGACGTGAAACATAGTTAAAATACGCACATAGTGGCGTCCCCATCTTAAATAATTGATAATTGATAATTGATAGTGTTGATACTTCCTTGACAATAATTGAAATGCTTCCATTGATTTGAGATATTCTGCATAATGTAATCAATTTTTAAAGTTACCTGGTACATTGTTGATGTAACAGCCATCTATGAGCAGGTGTCCGTCTACTGGGTCACACAAAGGGGGGAAGATACCAGCAAACGTCATACTAGCCCTCACGTACCTCCACATCCCTCCTGCAATACTATCCTGGTACTGTCTGTTCTACATTCAGTTGGCCTCACACTTATCAATAACCAGTACATGTCGTGGGTGGTGGAATAGTACCAGTGAACGTCATACTATAGTACGAGGGTCATCCAGAAAGTAACAGACGTTTCACTTCAGTGCCGTTAGAGGCAAGGCAAGCGCTAAAGCTAAACGGCTGTTACTTTCTGGATGGCCCTCGTAATATTTCACCCCAGAGTACGAGAGAACCAGTTGACAACATTAATAGCAAGCTTCAAGTTCATTGTGTGCTTGGTGCTGCAGAACTTGGTGTCAAAAAATCTGTGTGTCAACCTTTTTAATTGAAGAAATAATAAGAATCTGATGGTATTATTTTACTTTATTTTAACCTCCTGTTCAATTTGATTGCAAGAAGAGAAACTTTGTGAATATTTAGACATAAAAAGAAACATTAATCCTATGGCTAAAAAACCGCCAATTTACTTCATATTTGGTATAAAAATCAACAGGAGATTGAAAGAACTTCATTAAAACCATTAGATTCTTACTTTTTCTTTAACTAAACAAATTCGCGCAGAGGTAGTTGAATCAGATGTATGGCTCGCTAAGCAGGCACTCACAAGACTGATGGGGGAGGCTATTAGTGCAGTCGAATAGTTTTGTCTCATTCTAGGCTGAAAAATGTCAAGTGACTTATTGCGGTTTGGGTAAAAAAATCTGAAGGTTTGCAGTGTTCAACTAGTTCTCACCAATTCACAACTCTGACAGCCACCTTTGTGGGATAAATTGTCTTAAATTCTGTCACCTTAACCCTAGAAAAATCTGTCCGACCTTTTACCAAGGCTGTTTTAGAATGGCTCTTTGAAATTTAATCCACACGTCAACTAGAATAAAGCCTAGAAACATGTCTATATGCACATTCTAGGAGGATCAGTTATCCAAAGAAGACCAGAAAATGAAAATCCAACAATTTTCTGTAACAGTATTATTACATGAAGTTATTGTTACATGAAGAAGAATTATATTTTAATAAAAACAATTAGTTTTGAGTGTTTCTTTCATTCAATAGAAATCCATCGGTATATAATCAAGTAGCATTAGGTTTTGATTCATGAACAAAATTGTAAGTTAAAATATTATTAAAATTTACATCTAAAAATGTAAATGGAAAGGCACTGGCACAAGATCTGATTCTAATTGATCCCTTTGTTAAGGTTTAATTTGTGTGATGTTTATCCACATGCTATTAGTTGATAATTGTTAAGATATGATGGATTTAACCAGTGCTCGATTTGTAAAAAAATGAGGTGCCGGAACTGTAACCTATTTAATGTGACTAGTACCTATTTATGACAATATTTTTATCTTTCCGAAAGAGAGGTAACAGTTCCGCTGCATTCCCCTGCAAATCGAGCACTGGATTTAACAATTAAGTATAACCCATTTAACCTTACATCCTAAACATGAAAAGGTTAATATCACCACAAATATTTACCTAACATATTCAATAAAAACATTGATTCCAATGTTGGTAAAATATTTGCATAAAATCCTGGTTTAAATTATGTTGTTCAAACACATCCTGATAATTAGTGAGTGCTTGAACATCATAAAAAAACATATGCAAAAAAGAAGTTGCTTACAGAAAAGCTGAGAGTTCAACTGTTGACATCAACTATGCAACAGCTTATAGTTGATAGATAGCAAATGCAAACATTAGGAAGAATTAAATAGCTTTTTAAAATAATAACAAATGTAATTTTAATAAAATTTATTTAATCATTTTTTTAAAGTATGGGTTTTATTTTTAAAAGTTTGAAAATCTGATTTCACTTTTAGTCAGCCTTAGAGAAGCCATTGGGAAACAGAACGCGATATTTAGTATAATCTTTTGTTTTCATTTTTAATTCTTACCAAATGATTTTAATTTTAACGTATAACTAATGAGTTTTTACAGATTAAAGTTAAGCTCACTCGAGGGATAGATTGATTGAATCAGAGCGGACCTAGACCCAGTGCACATCAGCAACAAATGGGCTCTTGCGATACCCACTCTAAGAATATTACTGTTATATCGAGCACATTAGCTAGAAAATAAATTTATTAGAAAACATTGTGCCTGCAATAAATAAAGAAAAGTGATGACAGGCAAATAAAACAGAAACAAATATTTGGTTCGACCATAAAAAAAAATCTATTACATACTAACTAAAAAGTTAAAGCAAAAGAATGGAAGGAATCCATCAGATAAGCTCGATATGAACATTCTAGAAGACCAACAAGACCAACAGACAACCAAACTGATTCATGAAACACATCCCGCCCGCATTTACACCACCATATAAACCAGGCCTAAACCAAAACAACAGAACCAACAATAATGAGAGAGAACATCTGACGATAGAACAACCAGATTTAATACAATAGTCGTGAAATAATCCAAACAAAACATAACTCCTCACAATGCAACTTGATGGATACAAGTTGAGAATGGGAAATACAAATCACTTGTGAGTGTAAGTGTACCTAACAGGTGATGTCTGGGAATAATGTATGCAGAAAGAGGTCATTGTATTTAGTTTAATTTATATCTGTAGTCAACAAAGGTGCTTATTGGTTTCCGTTTGTTGTTGTAATATTGTATGTGATCATTGGTAGTGGAATTGACCTAAATTCAACCTCCAGGATACAGGCTGCTGGTTTCACTTCCCTTGATAGTTAATCCTACCTGAATGTTACACTTACCTATGTAGATGTCCATCGATTCATGGTTAGCCTACCATCCTAGTTTAATATATTTTAAACGTACCTCGCTTTCTAGTTGCATTTAACTTCCAGAGAGATTGTGCCTACTGTTGGTTTACCTGAACATCGGTGCATTTCACAGTGGCACATACCTGTGTAGTTGAACCTCCCTTGCTGGATGCACCTGAATGATTATGTTACAGTTGACGGTTACCTACCTGGAAGGTTGTTGACGTAGCCGCCGTCCAGCAGTAGATGTCCATCCGTTGGGTCACAGAGAGGGGGCATGTAACCGGACAATGACATTGATGAGCGAATGTACCGCCACAACGACCCTAGACAGAATACCTCACGCTTAGCTCCCATCAATTGGTAAGAATTTTATCGTTGTATTGATTCCAATAACACTTGAAATGTTAAGTTTAAAACTACTTTAATGAGTAGCTTTTAGGCCTAGCAACAGACTACTTAAACTTTTTGGATTTTTTAAGTGTTTTGTACTCTGTACTTTTGTATTTTTGAACTTTGCCTGAACTAGTTTTAAGGCAGTGTAGAATTTGTATTTGTGTTGTGATTTGTACATAATTTGTTAGAACTTTGTCTAAATTTAGTTTAAAATACCCAATTACAATTATGTCATATTAGAAAAGTCAGTAGTTTTTAATGGTTTGAAACTGGACCTAAATGTTCCTGATCATTGGGCTTTAAATAAATGGTTCTGACTAATGAAACAGCTGATCTTAGTCAGTAAGAAAGCTACACAAATCAACTCACGCCACTCTACACACATCCTTTACTCATATTTGGGTTAAAATAAGCACCTAGGTGGCGTCCCCATCCCAATGGTTGATAATTGATAATTTTAATTGTTTAATGATTTCAAGCTTTTGTGAAAACCTACAATATGAAAATACTATTTAGTTGAGTATGTAAAAAACACAAATTCGACACCAACACTGAATACATTAGAAAAACTACCCCTGATGCAAAAACCCTACCTAAGTGAATTTAAATTTCATGAAATTGTTATCCAAACCAGTTATTAATAAAAGGAAATATATATTTACATTCACACAAGTTATAATAACATGAAGCTATGCTAGGCGAACGTTTATGTTGGCAGGTATGAAGAGCACACTAATTAAAAAAAGTGTACAATGAAACAAAGAGATTTGTAAAATTTTATTAAGATATCCATAACTATGCAATCAACAGAAATGAATCTTCAGTTATTATGGGAAAAACAACATAATGTGTTTGTTTAGCATTTTAAGTACATTAATCTGTGTTATTTTTATAACATTTTAATATTGTACAATGAAAGAAACAATATTCATAACATTTCATTAAGATATCCATGAATAAGTAATCAACAGAAATAAATCTATTGTTTGTCTATTATTGGAGACAACATATTTATGTTTATCGTCTTAGTAAATATTAAGTATAGAAGGAAATGTAGCATGCTATGTTTTTCAGTCTTTAAAAGCCAATTGGAGATATATATTTCTTATCATTTAACAAAAGTTTGCACAAGACAATGAACAACTTATATTAGGTTACGAAAGCCTCAAATAGTGTTGTCTATTGCATGTTTTGTATTTAATGATAAACTAAATATTGTCTATTGTCCCTCTCAAGGTGACTTTTTCAAAGATCCGATCCAGCTGGGTTTAAAAGTTTCATCAACATTGGAGAGATTATACAGGAGTCATAGCGTCTGCAGGAATAAACATGTTACATTTAAAACAAACAGTCAGTTTGAACAGGCCTTTGGGGCCCTAAAACGATAACAATGGCTCTGAACCTAGTCTTCCCACGATGACTACCGACTATAGCTACAACTACAGGAAAACTTGATGAAATCATCAATAAATACCGAAACTATTTCCATCTTGTAATGCAATTTTAGAAATAATACTCCGAAATTTAAATATAGTATATATGTTGAATGTTGATACTTGGAGTAGAACAAGTTTGACAAATTCTCTGGTCTTTTTAACACAGTAAGTTGTAATGATCAAATAGACCACTTAACAATGTTTAAAGGAACTTTTTTAAATCTCTAAATAAGTTACAAATATTTTTTTAAAATGTTTTAAGTGATTTAGTTTTGTAAGTCTCATTTTATGTAATGTAGAGTTGAAAAAACCCTGGTAAAATACTGTTATTTTAAACTTGCAATTTTGCAATAAACTTGACAAGGCATCTCCCGAGGCGTCATTATCGTCTTCCATGATCGTGGCAAAATCGTAAATACTTC